AATAGCCAATTATGTAAGCTAGTCACGTGCCACCACGTGCGTGGGGCTAAGCCTAAAAGGGTTTACCTTTTAGGCTAACCCACACACACACAACTTAACAACAAACAACAACAGATCGTGATAGCCTCATTTCAGTACCGTGTGTTCCCTTTCCTTTACCGTACGCTTATTAGTGTACACTTAATCCTTACTTAATTATTACCTATACCTGGTCCTTCCTACATTAAACCTTAAATTCCTTATATATTAACATTATTAAAATTTATTTACTTTTAAAATTAATAATTTTAAATAAATAATATAAACGTTTTATTTTATATATTTTAATCATTAAAATATTTAAACTTAAAACTTAATAATAATATAATAAAATTTATAATAAAATAATAAATAAATAATAATTTATTTAAAATTTATTTTAACATATATATATTATATTATATAACATTAATTAAGATTTTATTTTTAAAATTTATACGGTTTAAATATATAAAACTTTTAATTATTATATAATTAATATATATTAAATAAATATTATATAAAGTTTAATTTATTATATTTTTAATAATTTAATTAATTAAGATAAAATTATAGAAACGTATGTTACACCGCTATTTTATATAGGACTAGGGATTTTCAGGTCACCTGACATGGCTGACTAATCTGACAGTATGTTAGTGGAGTTTAAACAGGGCTGTAAATAACAGGAAGAATCCGCGACCTTGGTGCAACACGATTGCGATTTTAGGTCACCACCTCCGAAGTTCGGCATCTGTCGGCTATATGTACTATATTACACAGGTACGCCACATTATACATACTACTAAGCTGCCGCTTCATACTACAGCAAACATATAACTGACAATTTTTTTTTCACCATGTCGTCGCCTCCTACCGTGCTTTTAATTGGGAACTTGGCCCATACAAACGAAGAATGGAAGTCCCTCAGTAGCAAGTACACACTCCTCGAGTTCCGCAAGGGAACGCGAGAGCAGTTTCTTCAGAACTGCCGAAATGGAACTTATGCCGCGGTTAGCGGATGCTATCGGTCTAACGTCTCTACCGCAATAACGGGGCCATTCAACCATGAGCTCGTTGCGGCGCTACCGGCATCTTGGAAGTTCATCGCGCACAACGGCGCGGGTTACGATAATATTGATGTGGCGGCGTGCAGCGAGCGCAAGATCGCCGTATCCTCCACTCCCGTGGCCGTCGACGATGCTACCGCTGACGTCGGCATATTCCTTATGTTGGGTGCTTTGCGATATGCGCACGAGCCGTTGATTGCGCTACGCCAGGGCCGCTGGAAGGGGAGGGTGCAGCTAGGCCACGACCCTCGCGGCAAGTCGCTTGGAATCCTAGGGATGGGGGGGATTGGACGGGCAATGGCAGACCGTGCGCGCAGTTTCGGGATGAATATCATTTATCACAACCGACGGCAGCTGGATCCGTCTCTGGAGAAAGGAGCCAAATACGTGTCATTTGACGAGTTACTGGCTCAGTCAGACGTGCTATCCCTTAACCTAGCTCTGAACGAAAGCACCCGACACATAATCTCAGCACCGGAACTGGCCAAGACGAAAAAGGGTGTCGTAATTGTAAATACGGCGCGTGGAGCGTTGATCAATGAGGCCGACCTGGTGGCTGCGCTAGAGTCGGAACACGTCTCGGCAGTAGGTCTCGATGTATATGAGAACGAACCAGAGATCCATCCTGGATTGGTGAAGAACGACCGAGCGTTTTTGCTCCCTCATCTTGGGACAACTACCGTCGAGACTCAGCGAGAGATGGAACTTCTTGTTTTGAGAAACCTGCAAGCGGTTGTTGACGAAGGGAAGATACTGACTTTGGTAGGCGAACAAAAGGGGTTGGATTGGGTGCCTAAGGAGGCAGATTTATGATTACCTTAGGTAGACGTTGATGCACTACATATGTTGATGTAGGATCTAGGTTAGAAGACTTAAGACTGAAGATTGAAGACTGAAGACTATAAGATAAATATAGATAATTGCATCATACGGCGAACTTTAATTACCTGACTTTCGGATTAATTTTACCTTTTCAGTCGTTGCATTAGGTAGTTCAATTACCTAACCTAACCCTAAGGAAATAGGAAATAGCGATGCAAGTGATAAGGGCATATCTAAGATCTCTACCAAATAAAGTGGAGTCGTGTGATTCTTACTCAATCAACATCGTTCCCAGCTTCAATATCACAAGATCCATCCTGTCTGTTTACTACGCGCATAAATCGCATCTTTAATTTCCATCTCCAGCGAGACGTGCATCCGAATAAGCCTCCTCAATAAACCAAACACCACTGTCCTTGTTCTACTTCCTTCCGAAGATCGCGATGATATCATTCTTCTCAAAGGCGCTAGCAGCATCCAATGCGCTTCTCCCCTTAGCATCCTCCTTCAATGGATCTAGCCCTTTAGCCATGAAAGCTTCAAACATTGCCTTATCATGTCCCTCTCTCGTATAATATGTCTTTTCTCTCCTAGCAATCACATGTAACGCCGTCTCGACCTCTTCATTCACAGCGAATATATCAACGCGGCTATTGGGCGGAAAAAGCTTGTCGTAGTGATGAAGATGACATTCTCTAGAATGCTCCATGCGCTGGTCTTTATCCTCGGATAATAGATACGTAAAAAGGGGAGTGTTGCCGGCGTTATCGGCTATGTTGATAGAGAATCCTGCCGCTATGAACCTTTGCCAAAGAGCTAAGCATTGGTCAAAATAGTCTTCAGGTAGCTCTATGTCTATATGTCCGGAGCCGGGTGGTTTGCGACGCGTTTTCAGACATTGGGAAGCTATATTATGAAGCACTGTGAAACCGTTCGGGTCAGGGTCCATACTGGCGCCTTTCGAGAGCAACAACTCGCAAACCTTAGGTCGTAGGATACGCAAAGCGTAGTGAAACGGCGAAAATCCATGGATGTCTTTCAGAAATAAGGTAGGAGCAACTTCCTCACGATTGATGAATTGAATAATAACGTCATCAGGAATTCCTGGGTTCTCTAAGAGATGATGCAGCGCCGTCTTTCCTTCGTTATCCGCCAGCGTCGCATCAGCCCCACGATCCAATATCCGCAGCGGGGGCCCTGGTGTTTTTGGGTCCCAGTGACGATACGAATATCCTGGCAAAACTTCACGCCAGTCGCACGAAGCTATCAGGACCGTCCGGCCACGCTGATCACGGTAGTTGAAATCGATTCGGGACACGCATGGCTCCCGTAGGAGTGCATTCAGGACTTCGTACTCTGGGAATTCGAAGAGAAAATGAAGCAGAGTTTCGTTGTCGTTTAGTGGCAGATATAAATTAGCACCCCGCTGTACGAGAGCCTGGAGTAGCGGTACCGAGTTTTCGACGCTTGTGTTCAACTGTTCGGCAAAAGCCGCACATAGCAGCGCATATACTTTTCGAGGCTCTGTCAATTTGTAATCCACCATTCGGCTGGGGTATTTTTCATCGAGCAAATCCACGCTGAGTCCATGGTCTAGAAGTGTCTCCAATGCCGAGAGATTCTGGTCATATATTGCTAAAAACATAGGATTTCGATTTCCGATGGCCGGATCTGCACCTCTGCGAAGCAAATCTTTCATAATGTCCGGAGCGGCAGAGGCCTTGTGGAGAGGTGAAAGCCCCGTCTTATCGAGGATATTTGGATTAGCCCCATAATCCAAAAGAATCCGTACCATATCAAGTCTCCAAAAACCTTGGACATTATCATTTTTGTACTTCTTACCGCAGGCGGCGATGTGCAAAGCAGATCTCTCTTCCTCGTCTAGAGCGTTCACATCAGCTCCATGGGAAAGAAGATATCTCATACCCTCCAACTGCCAACTATGATCCGCCGATGCAAGTATATGAAGCGCAGTCCCAGTAGGAATTATATCTCTGTTATGCGTACGGTCCTGGCAGTCGGCACTAATGCGTGCACCTTGCGCATTGACATTAACACGTAGCTTTCCTATCAGGAATTGTAACGTCAACATATTCGATTTAGACTGCTGACATGCTAATTGCAGGGCAGTTCTGACCTGGGAATCATAGTAGAATCCCTGAACTTTTCGATCTATCTCGATTCTCTCTCGAAGAGCCGTATAAGAACTGTAATGCAATATCACTCGAGATACCTGTTCGGCAACTTCCGTATGGCCGGGCTTCATAAGTTCCCTCAGAAGCTGGTTGTAAGAGGATTCAAGCTGGTTGGTTTCAAAGCCGGTATTAATTAACTGTGCAGCATCCTCATCCGTTAGAAGCCCTAAGTATGTGAAAGGAGACCTAATAACTTCGTCAAGGACAAGTTTGTTCTCATGTAGGTTAGCCAGAGCAGATCTTGGTCGTAATAACTCCATATGGGCTCTCATGTTCCGTCGAATTCCTTCTGCTCGTTTCGCAGTGCCCTCGTCGTTATCTAAAGCTTTCGTTGCTTTTTCGAAAAGTGCCTCATCCTTGGCAAACACCTCAACAAACTCCGCACAGCCAGCTAAAAGGGCGGCATCTAACGCTGTCAATTTAGATTTATCGACCGCGGCAATATCGGCGTTGGCATCCAGAAGCATTTTCACGATCGTCCCAATAGCACGAGAGCTATTGCTAGTTTTCATTTTCGAGCTATAACTTTCTCGATACCAAGGCCGGGTTTTGGGACTGGAAGATTGTGGCCGAAAGACATCTCTGGCTGGGCTGCGTAGCCATTCATACCGCTGATCATATGCGTCCCAGATGTTTTGCTCTAATGTGGACTGGGCACAGGCATGGAGGGGAGTAAACCCATTTAAGTCTACCGCCCGGATATCGGCGCCGTACCTCAATAGAAAAGCCACGGACTCCGGTTCTCCTGAGCTACATGCATAATGAAGCGGCGTCCTACCGAAGCCGTCCTTCTTATTAAAGTCAATGGTTTTCAGCTGTAGTATTTGGCAGACAATACTCGGCATCCGGGCTCGACAGGAGATATGAAGGGCATTTTGCCCATCATGCGTCAAAAAACTCAAGTCGGCTCCAGCATCGATCAGCAAGCTCAAGTTTTTCTCGGACCTCATAGACGCTAGATGTAAAGCGGTCAAGCCATCATTGTCCCTTATTTCGAAATCGACCTGGCCCCGATTGTTGATTACGTCGATGAAATCGATGCGCTCCTTGCTGTGGATAGTACTGCCGTAGGCGAGTTTCTTTTGGTATACGTGCAAAGCTGTAGTACCCTTGCTGTTCACGGCATTTACAGGGATCCCCACACCAATAATCCAGCGTAATAAGTCGGCTGCCTGTCGTTCGCCATTATACCATGAAGCAACATGATGGAGGAGAGTATCCCCCGCATGGTTGGTACTGAGTGGATCTACTCCGTCGGTAGCAATACGTTTTTCTAGTCTATCCTGCGGACACAAAACTCCGTAACAAAGAATATGGAGAGAATTGTTACCAAAATTGTCGACTACGTCAGTTTTCGCGTCGTGGTCTCGGAGTATCCGTAGCTTGTCCTCAGAGGAAAGGCACAGGAGATAAAGAGTTCGACCATTTGTTGCATTTCTGGAATTAATATCAATGCCTTCTGCGAGTAACAACTCGAGGTATTTCGTGAACCTCTCAATGCCGGACTGGGAGGATAATCCGAACCAACATCGCTTTTTAACAGCGTCGTCGTTGCATCTTGCGAGTAGTATTTGGAAGACCTCGAGCCCGGCAGACATCGCTTTATATACGGGCGTAGATCCATGGTCGTCCTTAATGTTTGGATCGGCGCCGTTTTCGAGCAAGAGTTTAACAATAGATTCTGTGTTCTCGGTCCCTGTTACCATCCCCGGCTGGTTAAGCGCACAGTGTAGGACTGTTTCGCCATAATGCCCTTTTTTATTTGGGTCGCCCCCAGCCTCTAGAAGAAGTCGTATGGCCTTAAGGTCACGATCCAGGCGCAAAACCAAATTCATAGGAGTATCTCCATGAACATGGGTCTTATTCAGGTCTGCTCCTGCTTCTAGCAAGGCTTTCAGAGCAGATACGCGAGGTGAGGCTCGACTGTTTCTTAGTGGGGCACCAGCAGCAATGAGCAGAGCGGTATTATTCTCGCTGTCGACCTGCTCAAGATCGGCACCTGCCTTTATCAACATTCTTAGGATAGCCCGGCACGACGGATCATTATCGTCGCGCCACGACTTCACTAAGCAGTGTATCGGGGCATCTACGGTGTCTTGACCCCAAGGGCCACCGTTACGAGTACGTCGAGGGGCCCATTTTGATGTTTGAGTTACATCTGCCCCTCGGCTTATGAGGGCTTGGACGCATTTCACGTTGGCTGTACTGCACGCGAAGTATAGAGCAGTCGCCCCACGATACGTCGCGTTTGCCGAGACATCCGTAGTTTCCAGTATAGTCAAGACAGACTCCGTTCGACTAAATCGACAGCATTCGCATAGGAGGTGCTCTAACGTTTCCGGCTTGCAAAAAGGGATCATCGTTATGATAGTCTCTGAGTATCCACCTTGGCTGGCGTAGAGGATTGCGCACTCTCCCTTTGTGATCTTCTCCCCTCCTAGGAGGAGTCCTGCATGGTTTTCCTTCGTTTTGATCGTGTCGGGTTCCACGCCAGCTTCGAGCAATACTTTCACTACTGAGGCGTGTTTTACGGCGAGATGGATTGGCTTCAGGCCACGTCCATCTTCAGCATTCGGAACACTTCCATGCTGGATCAGCAATGATACAAGTCTTGTGTGCCCATTGGCAGCTGCCCAATGTAACGGGGTGCGTTCTTGAGCATCCACTGTGGACACTTGTAGGCCTTCCTTTATTAACTTGAGGGCGAGATAAGATAGGCCCAAGAAAGCAGCGATGTGAAGTCCTGTCGGCAAGCCTTCCGTGTCTTCTTTACTCTTCAACGTCGATCCCCATTGAAGAACGAGCCACCTTCTGAAAGCTATATCATCTGGACTGAGAAAACCTAAGACGGTGCTGAACAGCTCCTCATCTTCCACATCGCCGTAAAGACCGGCATGATATGACCAGTTCTCCACGGCATAACTTAAAAACGGATGTCGCAAGCGAGCCTTCCTGTAATTAAAGAGGTCTTTTTCCTCTTTTAAGCCTAGGTGGGAACGTTTATGGTGTTCTTCGTCTGGATCAATCAGGTGCCGGGGCTTCTGATAGGTGACTGATGACTCCGTAGTCATGTTGTCGGATTGCTCGCCTTCAAGAAGCAAGGAGCCAGACTGGAGGTATCGAAGACAATTCATAGACATATGCTTATGCGCTTTTCCAGATTCAATTATTGGGAAAGCAATTGTCGCGTCAACATTTTGTAGGTTGCGCATTTCGCCACGCAAGAATTCAGTGAATGAATGATGAATTACTTGTAGCGTTTCATCTTCAAAAACTTCTATCAGAGGCGCGCAGCAAGTAGCGACTAGAACCTTGAAGCCTGAAGGTGCTTCAACAGCCGGACAAACGGATTTCATTAAGCTTGCCAATTCGTTCAGTCGCAAAGGGCGTGAGGAATGTGTGACCGCCTCAAGAACAAACACCTGGGTGTCTATATTTATCCCATTCTCTTCGCGCTGCTTCGCTAGAAGGCTTGTGTATGTCTGTTCCAGTCCCACGGGGAGTGTTTCTTCTAGAGTAGATATATCTACTGGGCCCTCTGCGAGAAAAACAGCTTCCACTTGGTCCATCGTAAGCTTTGCAACCAGAAATAAGCCTTGAGACATTTTTGCTACCATGTCAATGACCTTCTGTTTAATTTCTTGTGCATTGTCGGTTTTAGGAAACTTATCAAATCGATGATGTAGATATGCTGCTATATCGGCATCTACAAGACGCTGCTGGAGGCTAATGTGAACGATCGACGAGTCTCTTAAGGCACTTTGCAGATACTGCTTGGGCCTACTGGTGATGAGCAGTTTCAAGGAATGAGGACGATAGGTAGCCAAGCTATTAAGCCTATCTAGAAGCGGCCTGTTTCCAGGGGTCATCTCGTCCATCTCGTCCAGGGCGTCAGCAATACAGAAACATTTTGGGACAGATGATAATCCATCAAGAAAAAGCTGAAAGAGTTCACTGTCCGAAGTCTCTATCAAGCTTGTCTTTATATGTGACTGGAGAGAAAACTGTAGCCTAGGAGAATAGGGCAGAAGCTGGGTAAGCCAATCTTGAATAAGAGCACGCGGTGAGAAATTGGCTGCGACGATATTTCGGAAAAACATGAAGAGGACAGGACAGTCCTCAGATGTGCGCAAATGATTAACAACCGAAGCCGCTATGACGCTTTTCCCTGCGCCAGCGACTCCCTTTATCCAAAGGCTGCCATGCTCTGAAGAGTCATGCCATTTCTTATACTCATCAGTCTCGCAAATCCAAAGCCCGGTTCCGGGAGCTTGGGATGAGAGATGACGGCGGAATTCACCAGATTCGGCCAGGTAGTCGGTGGGCTTAAGCCAGTTTCGTATTTCTTCCAAGTCTTCGGGGCTCAACGCGGTTTCTTCGTGACTGACGATGTCATATTCATCTTGTATGCTGGATGGACCTGTCATAATTGATATTGAATACTTTTTACAGCATGAATATATCGAAAAGGAGAATCATGCTCATCCATGTCCTTTTATATACATCTTCTGCGGCACAGCCGCATAGGACGTTAGTAAAGCAGGCAGCAATGACTCGTCCATAGTGGGACCTCATCCCGCAGTCCGGCTATGTTATTGGCTAAAGTCTTCTTCTAAGACACATACTCGAATACGATATCGAAGGGCCACGATGATATCAAAAGTACAAGCATGGCTTACTTTCGGTAACTTTAGGAATCCTTGGTAGTCTACCCGACTGTTTTTATCTCATATGTACGGATTGCCTTCACAAGGGTTACCAAATTGATTGTTCGGTTCGGCTCAACGTAAATCCAGCCCCTCCCCTCTCTCAGGGATCCGGTTGATATTACATCACTAGGTTAGCTACCAGTTATACTTGATCACCTAGATTGACACCTCGATATTTTATTAGAAGTTCTCACTCTATAATTGCTTTATAGTAATACGACATCTTAGAGGTACCATCTCCAGGCTATATATATACAAGTCTATAGGTTGATCACCTATGTAATACAAAAAAGGTAGTTACGAGTTCAAACCTATCTCAAACCAAGACAAGGTTACAGTAGCTAACTACCAATGATGGATAGCCTTAAACACCTGCTTTGAAAGACACTGAGATCTTCTTAACCCCATTCACGGTTGTGCCAAATGCCTATCTGTGGTATCCCTAGTCCAATCACCCCCTGGACGCTTATCAGTTCCCCTCATCACTACCTAGTTACCAAGCATACAATACTACGGCCAACCCCTATTAGTATTAAAGCCGTAAAGGTATTTACTGCCAAGTAGTATAATCAGCACGTATCCTTTCTCAAAACATATCTTTCCTCGTAGTTTCTTAGAAATGCAGTAGCCTGTACAATGTCTCCTATTCCTCGTATACTCGTTGCGAACCGCGGCGAAATTGCCGTACGGTGTATCCAAGCATGTAAACAGCTATCGTTCCCGTGCGTCTCTATTTTTACCACGGCAGATGCTAGTTCACTTCATGTGCGTCTTGCTGATTCGAGCGTCCTACTTGAAGGAGAAGGTCCTCTAGCATACACAAATATGTAAACTTGGTTTATACCTTGCTCATTACCAATGTCACTAATAAATCAATTTCAGTGATACAATCCTTGAGATATGCCAGAAGAAAGATATCAATGCCATATTTCTTGGGTATGGGTTTCTAAGCGAAAATGCGGAATTTGCTCGTCGGGTTCACGATGCGGGCATCATCTTCATAGGCCCCGACAGCGAAGCAATCTATCAGATGGGCTTAAAACATGTAGCGAGAGGCCTGGCTACTACCGCAGGTATTCCTGTTATTCAAGGCTCTGGCTTACTGAGGAGTGCAGCGGAGACGCTTGAAATAGCACAGAAGATAGGGTTTCCGGTTAGCCCCTATTCTTTTATATGATTTGATTCTGATACCATCAGTACGGATTCGATTTTAAAGTCTCCCGGGTTGGTGCATTTATTAACATTTATTAACTTCAAGCCTGCCTCATTTAGGTCATAGTAAAAGCTTCTGGTGGCGGCGGCGGTATGGGCCAATATATTTGCGAGAGCGAGAACGACGTTCCGAAAGCATTCGCCAACGTGGAGAGCCGCTCGAAAGAACTTTTCGGCGATACGGGAGTCTTTTTAGAGAAATACTATGGCTCCAGCCACCACATCGAGATTCAAGTATGTTTAGCTGGTTGATTCAATATTTAGTCAGTAACAGTTCTAACTGTCATACCCAAGGTCTTTGGAAACGGGATAGGCGAAGTAGTAGATTTTGGCGAACGAGAGTGTAGTATACAAAGGCGCCGCCAGAAGGTAGGTCTATTTATCCCTTCAAGTATCAGATCCTGATCACTGATGTTTGACTCTATATTAGGTGATAGAAGAGTCTCCTAGCCCATATCTGGTCGATAGACCCGAGTTAAGGAATCGTCTTATCTCCTCCGCCTTGACTCTTGCGAGATCCATTAACTATCGTTCAGCTGGAACTGTAGAATTTCTCGTCGACGATGAAACGGGCGATTTCTTCTTTTTGGAGATGAATACCCGTTTGCAAGTCGAGCACGGCGTCACGGAACTTTGCTATGGGGTGGATCTTGTCGCTTTGATGCTACAGCAGGCTAAGCATCAACTGTTAAAAGAAACCGGAATTCCTTCTGAGGAGCTTCTGAGGATACGAGCGGAGGCGGCCCCAAGAGGCTCCGCAATCGAAGCCCGTGTATGCTGTGAGAACCCAGCTGATTCTTTCCTACCTAGCTCCGGTTTTGTCCAGTCAGTTGCTTGGCCTCATAAACACGCTCGGGTGGATACATGGATACAGCTTGGCACATTTGTTAGCCCCTATTTCGGTAAGTGAAGCTCAAGTTCCGTTCAAACTTCATCTGACGTGGAGCTAGACTCGCTGTTGGCCAAGGTGATTGTGCATGGTGTTACAAGAGAAGAATCAATTGCAACTATGCGAAAAGCTTTGGATGCCTCAGAAATCGGGGGCTTTGTGACGAACTTGACAATGCTGAAGTCGATAATTAGTTCGACGGGTAAGTAGAGCTATAGCATTTTATCTAGGTCTATTCTCAACTAACTTATTCAAGAGTTTTCCGAAGGAAGAACCCTGACAACATTTCTGGATACACAATTTACCTTCCATCCTACGGGCATCCAAATTGATGATCCGGGTGTTTTCACCACCGTCCAGCAAGCTCGTAACAGGACACGCAAAGGTTACGGAATACCAACAAGTGGACCAATGGATGACTTGGCTGCTATTAGTACGTTATACTGATTTACTAATTGGAATTAGCCCAATTATGTAGCTATATCACCACTAATGTTGCTGTAGTTGCCAATTTGCTCGTTGGGAACTCGGAGGATATAGAATGTCTCGAAGTCACCGCTCGTGGACCGAAGCTCAAATTCTTTAGCTTAAGTGTGATAGCTATTACCGGCTCCCCTTTTTCCGTAGAGGTGAACGGAAAAGTTAAGCAGATGTGGTCTAGGATTATTATGAATCCCGGAGAAGTACTGAAGATAGGAGTATCCGCCAGTCCGGGAGGTCGATGCTACATTGCGATCCGAGGAGGGCTTCCAGGGGTGTAAGTAATCCCAGGACGATTGCTAACTTTATCCGTTAACATAATGTAGGCCCGAATGGCTTGGATCCAAGTCTACCACACCGAACCTCGCTCTCGGAGGTATACAAGTGAGTATGCTCATCACCAAAGGAGGTCATTTAATTACTAAAATTGATGGAAGGGCCGACAACTACGACGTGGCGACCATATAGATGTAGCTCATATTGAACAATCTGACCTACCCGATACGTATCAACTGCCATCGGGCCTGATTCCCCCTACTACTGTGACAGATATCTATGTGATGCACGGTCCACACGATTCCGACGACTACATCACAGAAATCGGTAGACGAACTCTCTACTCAACCGAATGGACCGTGGACCATAATTGCAACCGAACGGGGATACGCCTAATCGGTCCACAGATTAAATGGGCTCGAGAAAACGGAGGGGACGGCGGTAGTCATCCAAGCAATATCATCGACTATCACTATCCATCGCCAGGAGGCGTTAACTGGACAGGCGATACCTGTGTAATTTTCCCGCAAGATTCTCCTGGGCTAGGTGGCTTTCTTTCTTCCTCTACGGTTGTCTCTGCAGACCTATGGAAACTAGGAAGACTCAAACCTGGCGACAAGACGAGGTTGACACCCGTATTTTACAGTTCCGCTCGGAAGCTAGCGAGCCAGAAGGCTAGTTTCATCGGCGCAGTCTCAAAGCATATAGCCGGCGGTATTCTAGAACACGAGAATGTGCTGTCTCTTTTGGAGATAAAAGAAAAACATCTAAAGCCAGATGCAATATTGGAAGTGATTTCGAGTAATCATGGAGGGCCAAGACTGACATTACGCCAAGTAAGTTTCTTGATACAGTGAAATAGCTGGACTTCTCTAATTTCCGCCATCATATTCAGGGCGGCGATCGCTTTATAATCGTCAATGTAGACGTCTCTCAAAAGGCAGGTCTTGAGACCTCAGTAGCAACAAATAACCTAGCTAGAGCTATACAGAGCCGTAACGTCCCGGGGACTTTTACACACATTAACATTAATTGTAAGTATACTCTTCAGACGATACTGCTTGGTAGCAGGACTAAGTTTTTATGATAGCCATCACGGTCGAGTATGAACCGGGCACGATTTCTCAACCAAATGTAGTACTCTTGATCAAGGAAGCCCATCAACAAAGCAGCAACATTGAGAAACCTTTAGCGGCGCGTCGTTTTCGCCTCCCCATCGTCTTCGATCATCCTTCGGTCCGTGAAGCGGAGAGTCGTTATACTACCTTGCAACGCAACAAAGCTGTATATGTCCCGGATAACGTCTCTTATGTGCAAGAGAACAACGGGCTTACCTCCCGTAGCGATGTTTTCGATATCCTTCTCAAGACGCGATTTCTTGTCGTTACTGTCGGCTTCATGTCAGGATTGCCACTCCTATGGCCTCTGGATCCTATAGCGCGCCTAACTTCTCAGAAATATAACCCAACGCGTATTTCTACACCCCCTGGGACAGTGGGTCTTGGGGGCGGTATGTTCTGCATATATCCGGCTGACCAGCCTGGTGGTTATATGATGCTTGCCAAGTCAATTCCAGTCTGGGACACGTACGCCTTACGGCCAGGCTTCAGGGAAGGCAAGCCGTGGCTATGCGAGCCATTTGACCTAGTAGACTTTTACGAGGTGAATCTCGACGAGTACGAGGAAATTTCGAGGCAGTTCGAGGCTGGCGTATATAAGATACAGGTTGAAGAAACCATATTTGATTTCCAAGCCGAACTTGCCAAGGATCATGAGAAACGCAGTCTACCAGAGACGCTCGAGTTTCGCGCCAGGCAGGGAGTAGCAGAAGAAGTTATGCGCGTCCGCGAAGAAAAGTTACTATCAGAGTGGCAACTGGACCAAGAACAGAGTCATGCCAGCGCTCAAGAGATAATTGACGTAGAGTCAGGAGTAGTGGCAGTCTCGTCGCCTCAGGTCGGCAAGGTCTGGAAAATTCAAGTTAGTCGCGGCGACGTAATAGAGCAAGAGAAAGTGATTGTTATACTTGAAGCCATGAAGATGGAGATTCCAGTAATAGCAGAGGAGTCTCATCATGGTTTCGTGGTAAAGGAAGTTCTGGTTCAAGAAGGGACGTTGGTGTCATCTGGTACATTGCTTGTTCTCCTTCATAAGCCTGATTAAGATGGGTTGGCTATTCTGCTACTATACGTAGGGTACCGATGCCAGTAACTTCAGTAACTTCAGTAACTATGTTAGCTTCCAGTAATCTAAAATGGCTCTTTGTCTTATTTGCATTCAGTATATTTTTTATGATAGGTAGATGCACGATATTCAAACTTCAAGGAATGGATGGTAGCATACATAGGTAGGTAGGTAGGTATACCCAGGCCTCTAGGAAATAAAACCTCCAAGATTGCGGGGTTTTCCATGACAGTAGTATTAAAAAGGCTTGATACAACCGGTAATCAGTATCCCGCATACACGGAGAGCCCCCGGGGTCGATATGCCCAGAGTTAATTGGTGGGTGTCTATAGCGACTGGTCTCGTGTAGGGATACAGATAACAATCTACTGTATAAACGGAACCCTCCGGGCGAGTTACGTATCTGCGGGGTGAACTCGGGGATCGTCGATCTTCAACGGCTATACAAAGCCTCAATCTTATAATTAAGCTTATAACCTCCAAAGCCCAACCAAAATAAATATCATAGATCCAGTGCGGAAAACACCATGTCTGAAGATAAAGCCAAGTCGCGATGGATAGAGATCAACTGCGACTTAGGGGAAAGCTTTGGAAGATGGAAACTAGTAAGACCTTTCCTCTGCCGTTTACTGTTTCCCCTAGCTCATGCATATATGGTCGATAGGGACCTGACGAGGACTTAATGCGCTATATCGATGTAGCAAATATCGCCTGCGGGTTAGTTCTCATCAACTCTAGCTCTATCCCAACTAACCCTAAACAGTTTCCACGCCGGTGACCCTTCTACCATGGTGTATACAGTTCGCCTCGCAAAGCAACGTGGTGTACGAGTTGGTGCTCACCCGGGAATGCCGGACCTCCTTGGCTTTGGCCGTCGCCGCATGGAGATTTTTCCCGAAGATATGTATGCTTTGGTGTTATATCAAGTCGGTGCTCTTGCAGCTATAGTCGCTGCAGAGGATATGCCGCTGAACCACGTCAAGCCACACGGCGAGCTCTACTTCTATATCCAGCGAGATGCTGGTATTCGAGATGCCGTCCTTCGCGCCGTCAAAACTTTTAAGGTCCCTATTTATGGACTACCAACTAAACAGATGGTCGAGGACTGCCAGAGGCTCGGAGTAGAGCTTATCCCCGAATTCTATGTAGATATCGACTATAATGACCAAGGCGGACTGGTACCAGTGGCAGAGTCCGCCCCTGTTACTCCAGAATTGATCGCTGAACGCATCCGCATCTTCACGAGTAAAGGCCAGGCCATTTCCAGGAGCGGGAATGCGGTGGATATACCCGTTGATAGGCAAGGGTTTAGTATATGTATTCACTCGGATCTGCCAGGTGCATTGGACAATGTTACCGCTGCAAGAGCAGCTGTTGAAGAGCAGAGAGTATCATAAGCAGCTGTGTACGAGGATCCCATTGAATTCTGCGACGGTTTATTCTATTTATACGGGGATATTTCTTGGCAAGTCAGTACCAAATAACTGTATATTAGCTACCTGAGTTTCGCTCCTTGTCAAGAAAATACTCGAGACTGTCTATTAAATCAGGCAGTCTTTCCCTCGATGTTGTCCCAGAGAGTTCATGTATCCAATAATCTCCCATTCTTCTCTGTTCCTAGGTAAAGCAGTCCCATAAAGAACTCCCATATCAAAACATATCTCGTCTCCTAACGGTTGGAATCGGCAAGTCCATTTCTTTACGGCCTAGATCCAGCCAGAATGGCCGAAATTATGGACCCGGAGCGGTCGATACCCTGCAGCAGGCCGGGGTTGTGGACCGAGCCAAGATGTCGCCATCGGAGCAGCTTATTGCACAACGTCACAAGAAAAACGAAGACTTTAAACGTCAAGGTGTGATCCCATACCACCGGTATGATATAAATATCATATAAGTCGCATCTCATTTAAGCTGGCGAGTTGGACTAGGGCCTCTTGTAGATTTTCGCCTTCTCCGACGGCATTGTCGACAGCCAAACCGCTAAACTCGAGCCGGGCAATACCCACGATCCACCCAAGTCGACCAGCAAAATGAGTAGCCCCGCGGTCAAGCAGAAGCGCACGTGGTACCACACAACGCTCTTCAACGCCTTCGTCATCGGCGGCGTCGGCTTCATCGCCCCAGGACTATGGAACGCGATGAACAACCTAGGCGCCGGCGGCGCGCAAGAGCCGTACTTGGTTAACGCGGCCAACTCGCTCGTCTTCGCCATCATGGGGTTCATGTGCTTGTTCGGCGCGCCCCTCGCCAACAGCATTGGTCTACGATGGACGCTTTTTCTGGGTGCTATCGGGTACCCTGTTTACTCGGCTGGCTTGTATGCGAACAATCGTTTCGGCAATACTTGGCTTGTGCTAGTCGGCGCCGTGGCGTGCGGGTTGAGCGCTGGTGGTACGGCTCCATTCATATAATATATAGATATATGTACCTAACTATGTTCGTACAACCTGCTAACTCGAAATCGTACAGCTTTTTGGTGCTCGGAAGCAGCTATCGCGGTAGGCTATCCCGAGCCTGGAAAAAGAGGCCGTTACCTGAACATATGGCTGTGGTTCCGCACGGGCGGACCCTTGGTCGGCGGCGCCATCGTGCTCGCGCTGAACCACGACGAGGGCACCAAGGCTAAGGGCAAGGTAGGATACCAAGTATACCTGATATTCATCGCGCTGCAATGCGTTGCGGCTCCTCTCGCGCTGGCGCTGTCGCCACCGGAGAAAGTGCAGCGTTCGGATGGATCGAAAGTTATCATCAAGAGCGAAGGCTCTTTCGCAGGGGAGTTCCGTGCGCTATGGACGGCCTGCAAGCGCAAGGACATCCTCCTCCTGCTACCGGTTTTCTGGGCGGCCTACTTCAACCAGTACAGCAGCAACTTCCAGTCGTACTACTTCGGCGTGCGGGCGCGCGCCTTGATCGGCTTCGTGAACAACTTCGGCACCCTGCTCTCGTCGCAAATCATGAGCACGCTGCTGGATTATAAGGGTCTTCCGGTCAAGAAGCGCATAGCGGTCGGCTTTTTCTACGTCGTCGTGGTGCACATAGTGGCCTGGGTATACGGCTGGGTGATTCAAATTCGGTATAACAGCAACCCGCCCGCCTACGACTGGGAGGACAAGGGTTTCGTCGAGGGCTTCTTCGTGCTGGTCCTGTGGGACTTTTCTCGACAGTCACTTCAGAATTGGCTTTGTAAGTGGCCTCAACATCCCCTAATGGCCTAATGGGGGGGGTATCATAGAGGGAGTATTGCTAATTCGCAGTAGATTACCTCGTCGCTAGCATGACTGACAATATCTCGGAGTTGACGCGGTTCTCGGGCATCTTAAGAGGACAGGAGAGCTTTGCTCAGGCCATTAGTTTTGGAATCAATACGCAAAAATTCAGGGTTGCCGGGCGTGTGCCTCTAGCCGTAAATACCATCCTGCTTGGTAAGTTTGATCTGATCAATAATGATCCTGGGCCTTGATATTTGGATCCTGAGCTATTTCATACAGACTAACACCCATTTCTATAGGTCTATCGGTATTCCCCACGTGGCTTGTTGTCCGTAACCACGTTCCGGTCGAGCAAGATGCCGAGCACGCCTCCGACAACGAAAGTCACGCTGAAGAAGGCCTGGCGGGTCAAATTCTGGATTCTAGTGAAAAACAGAAGTTTGCTGTTGGGAAGACGAGCATCGGGGGAGATGCTGCAATCTGAAGGGTATGATGTAGATCAATAGAATTCACTTCCAGCCGAATCTTGGTGAATGATATAATTGAAAATATATTCCTTCTGTGGCGTTAAGATATTCTAAAGCGGACATATAGACGCCTATGCTATACCTATTAGCTCATGCATGATAATAACAGTTATTCAAGATTCATCTATTAAGAGCGGCGTCGTGACATACATGATAGTCACCTAGGCAGGGCAATCTGCCTAAAAGTATGGGCTTCAGAATATGCAAAATCGGCTTCAGATAAATCGATCGACTAATATATCATGCTATAAGGCCCAATAGTACAAACTAATATCTTCCGATATATCACGGATGTAGATCATCTTTCAAATTCGCGGAAGACGTAGATAGAGTAATGATCTCGCCTTTCGGCGGTATTAATTTATTTCATCTTAACTTCTAACATTAAGTGTATCGTGGTATCATAATGCCAATGCTGCCTCTTCTATGCAATTAGTCTCTTCTCCTATCGCTCTTGTCGCTCCGGGTGCTTGATATCGGGCTCGAGCTCCCGCTCGACGACCCCGAGTGTACAAAGCTGTCCAAGACGGTAAATTCGTCCGACAGTTCAGTACTTCGCTTAGTGACTCCGACGGGACCGTATCCAAGTTCCTCGTCTAGAGTCTTATTCTTCTTGGTAGCGCCAACTTCGACGTACTCGTATTCCCATCGGTACTTTCCAGGCTGCTGAATTGGCAGCCAGTATTTCCTAACCACAGCAAAGATGGAATAAGCAATAATGCCACCGCCGAGCAGATCGACGGCGTAGTGGTGATTCAGATACATCGTCGCCCAGCAAATCCAGCAGACGTAGAATAAGCAGAATCCCTTAAGTTTGGGAAAGCAATAAGTGAGGAACAAGGCTTCGAGGATCGCGTCGGCGGCGTGAAGACTCGGGAAAGCTCCGAAAGGTACGGGTGCCGTGGTAAAGCTAGTGGTGTACATGTCGATGCCGAAGAGTGCGTCGATCCGCGCTAACCCGGCCGGGGAACCCTGCATTCCGTATTTTGCGGGCTCGAGACCGTGCAGTCTTTCGTACCAGGGTGGTGTGCATGGGAAAAAGAGCTGTATTGATACACCCAAAACGCTCATCCATCCAAAGCTTTTAGCGAACATCGGGAGGGTACCCGGAGCAGCAAAAATAAACATGATCACGGAGCAAATAGCGGGAAGCCCGAAGTGTCCCAGTCCGTCTATAGGGAATCAAATTAGCAACGGATTCTTGTAAGTCAATTGGATCAATGTAAGATCTTCAGATGCGAAACACCCGAGCAGGACCCCGGCCTTGTATAGATAAGATGAAAATATCTGAAAATGGGGATTGTCTTACATGGAATCCAGGCGAATAGGTCAAGGACAGGATGTGTCCATGCGGAAAGGACGTTTGAAAAGCTGACGCCATATAGAATATCTTCTAAAGCAGGAAGCACCTTCACGAGGATATCCGGACGAATGTCGTACGGGATAAAGCTGAAATCAGCTAGTTAGCGATATGAATAAAATTGCCACCCTCCTCGACTGGAAGGTGAAATAACCGAAGCGCGGAAAAGAGCTCTTTAAAAATCTTGGATGCTTACCGGCTGGAGAAAAAGTAGAGTAGATAAGTCCATATAGGCCATGACGGGAGAAAGAATTGTCTTGTTATAGGCATGAACAAAAGCGAGAGGTACCCTAAGGCAGCGAGAGTCTTAATGATAGGCGCCGACGGGTCAATAATCCAGAGCGAGAAAATTGTGAAACCGGCCAATCCAAGATGTTGCACGTCGAATACGCTCCATTTTCTTGTCCTCAGGAGCTCAAAGGTATCTGTGATCTTAAAAGAAGTTTGCAAAGCGGAGATACTCCTCGCCGGGTTGGGACCGGATTCTCGCATTTGCTTGGACGAGTGGCTGAACATTCGGGGTAGGTTATAACGGCCTGGTATTGTCTTTAGCTTGGACGGGCTCAACCTCTCGCGCCATCCCAGAGGGAGCTGTGTCTCCGTTTCGACGACGGTGTTCGTCTGCTGCATCGGAACGCTCTCTCGTACGACGCCGGACGAAATCTTTCTGTCTTTCCAAGGAAAACCGTAGGTATTTTATCTGCAGTTGGGGGAGTCTGACCCGAGTCCGCAACGTCTTGTCGCACCGGAGGTTACCAAGTTATCCAAGGTGGGTTGGGCTAGGAAATGTTGTGGTTGGTTGTCCTCCCAGGCGCCAGGCGAAGGCAGATGAGGTCGAGGTCGAGGTCGAGGTCGTCCGGCTTATCGCGAAGAATCACATACGGGACGTAATTCCTGGATCGTGCGATCGGGAAGCGGAGAGAAAAGGGAAGGGGAGGTACATGATATATAATAATAAAGAGAAAAAAAAAAGCAGAGCACACTACCTCTACCGCACCACCGCTGTTCTGCTACCTACCTAACCGCCCTCGGTGCTTTGTTGCCGTACAATACATAATAACTCAGGTATCCGGATATAACGGGGACAGGGATGTGAGAGACGCAAAGTAAGGCATGGCTGATTGGGTAGAATTGTATTGGTGGTCATGGATAATTCGTCTAGGAGCAGATTACATATGAGTAATGGATTTAATGGATTCAAAAAATGGTACCTCCCATCTTGCTTGGCCTTATGACAGGGGTAGAAACTTAGCGGGGACCCATGCCGATTGTGCATCCACAGATACGTGTACTATCCATGTAACTGCACAATAAATGCCAATGTACAGTACATCGGACATGACCTACAGTTTATCTGGCGGAAAGAAACAGGAGGCAAATCAAAGATATTAATACACTACGCACGCAAGTACCTACCTACATAGTATATGGTAAAAGCAACAAAGCAGTCGCATTAAGTTTTATGTACAATACTGCAGCCTTCCGCACATGTTCAAGTACTCAGGTACATGTACCAACGGCACACACTAAGAGCCCGGTGTAGCGCTAGCGCCGTACCGCAACTTTAAATTCCAAAACGGTTCGGGATTGGGAGTTAGGGAGTATTTTGCCTCTACGTTAGCGGTTAGCGCTAGCATCCGAATGCGTCGCATATGCAGGCTAGCTTAGGTACATTTACCTAGGTACCCAGTCATAAGGAAACCAGGAAAAAACCTAGGGTTAGTGACGATAATCTATGGACCGAGCGGGATTTTGATACTGATTCCATACTGCAGACCATCGGCCGAGTTGTTATACAGATGATGGCTAAGCTGTAATGAAAGTCAACCGCTTACTCCTTCAGCCGCTTGAAGATCAGACATCCTCCCCATATGCAATTCATAGTTCTCAGGCGCATATAATAGGGTTTGTAGGAGAGGCAAACAACGTAGTTAGAGAATGAGTTGCGCTTCTTCGATTTATAGTCAAGTATTAATACACATTGTGAACGAATACGAATATGGAACTGCGGACATATATATATATATATATATATCGTGGGGGATATCAAATGTATAAGCGTGCCTACCTAGCAGCCTAGGTAAGGGTGCTTTCTCAGCCCAATACCTTGAAGTCCTACGCCATTGTCCCTTGACTTCGATGGAATGTAAGATGTAGCCCTAGAATCCGTTAGCTTTGATTCAAATCAGCCTTAAAACAATTCTAGCTTGGTCATCCTCTAAACTATATTACTACGACCACTAGTGATCAATAGGGCTTTTCAGTAGCTTCTTGATAACAATAATGCCGAGGTCTCTTTTTTTCCGTAGGTGTCCACCGCTGTGTCCAGGACAGATGACATAATGGATTCTATGGGGCTCCATTTCAAAGCACCATAGCGCCGGTAACGACACGAGGCTCGATTGTTGGAATCCCCATGTTGGAATTCCTATGCTAAATTCCCGCAAATTTTAAGCGAAAGCGAGTTGGGACTTAAGTCAGCATATTTATATACCCTCTAGGTCATCTTACAGTCCTATCCCTTGCGGACTTCACCAGTTGATAATATCAAACGAGAGAACTCTTTGGAATCCGGCGAGCGGGAATCAATAAGCGCTAGGGAGGGCGGACACCATCGGAAGGGTCGGGACTGGGGGTGGCATGTGTCCATGCTTCTAAATGGGTATACACGTGCATAACTCCTACATAAGAGACCCATTATTTGCACAAACAAGACCGGGTACGAAGTGCGAAATAGAGTACGAAAGATGTACAATACATACAATATGCGCGCTTGTGTAACAGTACCGATGCAACCGGATCTTGGCATTGAAACGCTAGTACAAGGTTCCAAGATCTTGGCAGGTCCACTTTCTACCGTTTCAAGGGTCCCAGAGCCGCTCGTCACATCCTACAAGTTACAGTACGCGTACGTATGTCATTATTAGTTACCAATAAGTTAGGGATCTTGATAACCAGGATTAAAAAAATGAACACGTGAGGGTAATACATAGCAGTAATGTGTCGTGTGTGCCTATCCGTTTCTCAGGTGTTGATGAGCCAGTGATCAAGCCATTGTATATTGAATGAGGTTGGATGGATGGATGGATGGATGGATGGATGGATGCGTTTAGGTAAATGCAGATACAGGTCCATGCAGATGCACTCATCCAAACAAATAAAGAATCACCAAAGGTACGGAATACAGTACCACATGCTTAATGTATGTACCGTCGCAAATGGGGGTCACCTTTCGTACCGTCAGTAACGAGATCGCGTGGGCAAAAAGAAAAGAAAAGAAAAAAGGTGAATTAAAACGGAGAAATAAGAGAAAGTGGATCCAAGTCTTAAGCCGCCCTAATAGCCCCAATACCTAGCCCCAATTGATGTCCAGGTTTTCCCGCATCGGTCTCCACTTCTGCCCGACTCACCGACCGGGAACACCATTAAAGCCACTCTTTCTTAACTAACGGAGAGGAAGAAAAAGAGAGATTAAATCACTCGTGCTACAGTATTTGCATAATTGAATTATTCATTTGTTGCCCGGCCATCACTTATTGCTAAACTCGGTGTTCGGAGTTCACTTTTGAATCGAGATCCCAAATGCGGCATCGTGCCATTTTTCAAGTTCTCCCTTGTTGAAGTCTCGACTCTTCATACATATATAATATCCACCGTCTGTTATCCAACCCATACATACGTACGTAAGTAGTGTAAATGCCACAGTTGTATTCTAGCCGTCGCAACGGAGCATCGGGGCATCAAAGTGGCACCATGCGAAGATCTGACCAGAATCGACGGGATGCTAAGGGAAAATACCACTCTCTCCGCGAATTACCGACACACGGACTCTTGTCACCTCGATGACTTTATCGCCTAGCCGGTCTAAGCGTGCCCCGTCGGACCCGTCGAGGTGAAGAATTTTTATGTATGTATGTACATACGCTCGACCGTTTTGTATTCCCTTTTGCGAAATTCGATCACGCGACAGTAAATTCCCATGTTATTAGGACATGCCAAAATGTTCCCTTTTGTATGTAGTACATAACTACATACAAGCAAGGGAGGCTTGTTAGATGGGAGACGGGTTTCAAAATATCAAACCCGGACATATGTATTAATTGTTAGTTAGGTAGTTAGTTAGTTACATTAAGTCAAACTTCGGTAACACTTAACTACCTAGGTAGTTATTATGACTACGGAGTTAAGGGATGATGTATTGTACTTCGTAACTACACGAAGCCTTACTGTTCTCACATCAACTTAGGTCCATGTCGCACCAACAGCTTCATCTGTATCGATACACTTGCAAGGTACCGTAAGGAAAACCCTTAACGACATGGATGTCCCGAACGTTGACAGGGTAAGCATCGGGACTTGCATCTTATCTCCCTTTCCTGCTTTTTTTTTTCTCCTTCTTAGACCACGGTAAACTGGGAACCAGTTCGTCTTCATTAAATAATAAGGAGCATTGTGGGGACGACATCTATTTTCATAATGCTAGACCCATGCTATTTTACAATCTCGTATGAACGGAGATAAAAATGTATACGTATACACATACATATGATGTAGTAGTACCTAACAGGAAAGACACCGCTCCCGGACTGCCGGGATACTAATTCAAGCAGATGTGCCTAGCGAACTATTACTATGTAGAGACATCTCAGATGATCATATTGAAGATCATCACATGCCTGTTCGATACCAAGCACACTATCCCCCAAATGTACCCGGACGAAAGAAGATCCATCTGGAAGATATGCAAATCGCTATTGGTATTCCGTATTTAAGCTAACTATAGCTCAACCGCACGCACTGCTACGCTACGCTAGTTTTGCGACTCATGAAGGTGACCAACTGTGTACATATGTGTGCATGCATGCAAAGGAGAAGGTCCCATTATGGTGCCATTACTCAAGTATATGTATACATAGGTAATCTAGCAACTCTGGGTCATGAGGACAAGACTCAGATATCGGTACCGTCTTTCAGTTGCATTATGTATGTACGTGGCTGTTCAAGATCACGATTTGTCGCTGGCGAGATCTGTTACTCAGTCGGTTGTGTCGATGCAATCTGCATCACAGGTAAGTTTACATACATTAGGTGCTACACACCTAATGTACAAACGTTGAGACATACATACCTACATACCTACCTAGGTACCTACAGACACCGATGGCTTTCTTACGGATCCTATGACACTATGACATGTTCAACCAACTACATCTTAAACAAAGTCCCACCCGCGAAGCTGATGGATGAGCCGCAGTGGCTAACTCCGAATATACCTATTTTAGCTCATCTCATTCATCAGCATCAGCATCACAGACTAATATATATGGTATATGGTATCTCCCGTGTTGCATCGACCTCACATCTCAGTAGTTGGAAATGCAAAATTGTTAGTAGTGAGATTAATACCTCAAAATGGCTATTTCCGTATGGAACTTGGGCTGTCCTAATTACAACACCGCCATTGCAAGATCCATATCGCTGTATCTGCCGATATTCGCTCGCTATCCAAAATGCGACTGCTAATGCGCTCGCTACCGCTATCTTTCTCGTTCATGTACATAAACGTACCGTAGTCCATCTCATCTCGTCATAAAACCAAATGGGTTTTCAGTCTCTCGTCTCATCCTCATATATACTATCACTCGCTCCTGCAAGATGCAGTCTAGATAAAACTGTCCTCCCTGCCACCTCAAATAGTATGCAACTCCAACTCCCGATATGATATAGTGCTGCCTCATCGTCGTGGCTGGCTGGCACTCCATAGTCCTTTCGACGTCTCAACTACCCGGTTAGCAGCGACACCGGGTCTTAAACTCGCAGGTACGCCCGAGTCAGGGTCCATGCCGCCCATATCTATGTCTTCGTTCTGCATACTAGAGTAGCCCGAGTCGCCTTTTGCTACATCAGCCTTGTCCAGCGAGGGCGCGCCCTGCTTCGGTTCTGCTGATCGGGTGCCGTCCATCAGGTGAGCATTCGCATGGCCTTCCCGTAGCTTGTTGATGGCCCGCACCGTGTCGATGGCTGCGTGTAACGTCTTACGCGCGTTAAAGTTCTTCTTGACTGTGGGGAGTAGGTTCTGGCCTCTATCACCGTCGCCCAAGCTATAGTCAGCGACGAAAGGATGAGATAGGGCCTCGTGCGCTGTCATGCGCTTGTTAGGGTCGACGGTAAGACACTGGGAAATGAACTCCTTTGCGTTATCGCTGACGCCGCGCCAGTATTCTACCGGCTGGAAGTTATAGTCGGCGTTTAGGATCGCCTGCATTTCATCAAAGTCGCTGTCGCGATCGAACGGCGTGTACCCGCACAGTAAGAAGTACGTAATGACGCCCATAGCCCATATATCAACTGGTTTACCGTGGCCCGTCTTCTTAAAGATCTCGGGCGCCATGTATCCCGGGGTGCCGCAAGTCGTCGTCAAGACGTGGAATTGCTCTTCATCCATAATACGCGATAGGCCAAAATCGGCAATAAGAAGGTCGGCGTTGTCTTCGGGAGTGCGGAAGAGTAGGTTCTCGGGCTTAAGATCACGATGCACGATACCGTGGTCGTGGAGATACGCGACGGCAGACAGTGTCGCACGAATCAGGTCGGCAGCATCGGATTCATAGTATGATCCTTTACGGCAGATCCGATCGAAGAGCTCCCCGCCGAGCGCAAGGTCGGTTACAAGGTAAAGGTTGTTCATCGTCTCGAAGTAGTCGACGAGGGTTAGGATGTTTTGATGGCCCATCGAGACTTTTTTAAGGACGGCAATCTCATTTCGAACCTGATGTAATGTATAAGGTTAATCTTTATGCGCCATTCCGAGACCGTGTAGAAACTAAGATGCAATCTAAGAAGAAATAGGACGAACCATATGTTCGCGACCAGCCATTAGCCTCTTGTTAATAACCTTTGCGGCATAGTAACGACCCGTATCAATGTGCACACACTCCTTTACAACAGAATATGAGCCCGCGCCCAACGTCTTTCCCACCTTGTATCTACATGGCTGTATTTGAGGATTCGGACGAGGAGAGCCGTTGCTCGGAACAGACGCGGCGGTGGTGGCCATTGTAAGCGATGAGGGAAGTTGTCCCGTGGCCAGAAAACTGGAAGAGGCCTTATGAGCGATATATGCTTGGATGGTAGAAATGTAGGACGAAGTTATTAGGGTAGAGCAGGTGGAGCAGGGTCTGGCTTGTAAGCAGAACAGATTCGGTGGTTGCGGAATGTCGATCAAGGGGTGGTTATCGTCATGTAAGGAATAACAATAAGTTAGTCGCGCATGTTTCGAATATCTTATAATTTAACGAGCACTTCGTTATAAAAGGAGAAGATGATCTGCCGACTCGACTTAAGAGAATACGAGATACGCGAGATACGCGAGATACGAGAGAAGGCTCCGACGAGAGACCAAATCGAATTAGCCTCGGGGCGGATGTGCGCCGTCGATCCAATCGGGAGGGGCCAGGCGTAAATCCACTGGCTTCTAATCGTAGCGCACGTAGCAGTGAAACACTAACAAGGGTTAGGAAGTGCAAAGCTTTTATAGCAACTTCCAGTCTTATGGAGTATTTTTGGTGTCTTTGAGGGTAGTTGACAGATGTTTTGTTTTGCGAAAATGAGGAAAGCTGAGACGATCAAACGGAGAAAGGGACTCAGCTGTTGCTCCACCTTTCTGCCCCTCCTTCTGGGCGTTTTAGTCAGCCGCAAAGAAATAGGCGCTTTGCTTGCTACCGTGGGGAACGAGGGAAGGAACTTCCTACTTCATATAGGTGATCACCTGTTTTTATTAGATTTTTCCTATACAAATATCGCTGTATCGTGATGTTTAACAAAACCATAGACATTCGCCCGCATCTTTTTCGCTCATTACATACCTACTATTTTACCTTTACTCGTCAACTCTGCCTTTCCGAAATGCCTTTTTAGAACTGTGCTCTTTCTTCGATCTGAGTCTGTTCTCGCGAGCTGATTTCTCTCTAATCCGCGTGCGTCAGTGGTACCTCTTGTGTATTTGAAATATGATAGCACGCAAGGGAGGTATGTGCAATAGGTGAGAGGACTAACTTACAAGGCTTCGTACTTCTTGATCTTTTCGCTACTGGTCGTCCCTGGGACTTGTTCCCTATAAATCTTCTGCAGTTCTTCTACCAATTTCAGGTGATTATCATCAGTATTAGCAGACCTACTCCGTTGGGTCTGGGCTTGGATTGTGATGGAGTCGTTCCTTTTTGAATAGTATTTTGAAGAGCGCAGAGCCAGACGAACTAGTTTTGGCAAGCCCTTAGACAACTCCTCGATGGACCACACTGTTGTGGCTTTGCTCTCGGTCCTATTCGAATTAGACCAGCTTTGAAGAGAGTACTACATATCGAGTGTACTCACTTGTTTACATGTTGGCCCCCAGGTCCGCTTGACCTAGAGTAGCTCGTCTGACCCTTTGGCAAGTTATTTTCGGTGAACGAAGCATACCACTTTCTGGCTTCGGTGAGGTCATCTTGGTCGAATGCAGCATCATATGCTCGGTGTTGTATAGTGCGCACAAGGCAGTGCGCTTCGTTGAAAGTCCTGAAAGTCCTGAAAGTCCTGAATACGAGAGGTAGGTTGAAATTTCCTGATATAGTTCGTAATGTAGCCATTAGGTGTGGAATATTTATATATAAGTTATCTCGGTAGGTAGTCAATGTTGGTCAATCTTAGACGAGAGCCTCTTGAACTTTCTTAGTGGTGAGTTATTACATATAGGTACCTGGGTACCTAACGGATTATATTAGGTACCTAGGTACTTTGTCTAAATAAATGTGGGCCAGCACCACCCCCTATTCATGTCAACTATATGGACCCAGGTATCTTTAGCTGATATTATTGGGCAGGATATGATTTCGACTGTTAACCCGACAGCAATAGGTTCACTATACCTTTTTGAGTGATTGTTTTTTAATAAATAAGCATGTACTCTTCAGTACGGTTTTATGATATCTCGGCCGGCTTGCAGCCAGCACGGAGAGTAATGGGTGTCAGTCTTAGCGGTCCTAACGACAAACACCAAAACACATGTAGTTAATAACAAGACGAAGAAAAGGGGGTTTATTAAACCACGAATGGGTTTCGTGAAGGATATTAAGATGTTGGCGATAAGAGCCTGGATGGGAAATATGTATCAACGCAAGCATTATCTGGTAGTTCTCCTATAGGTATACACCGAAAATATTTATGTCGTATGAAATATTGACGCAAGACTGTGGTAGCAATCCCCAAAAGAGCCCCTAGGCTATTTACCAGCTTCCCTATATCAGCATTTTCACTGGGAGAAAATTAAGATTGGCCTAGCATAATAAAATAGGCTTATAAGAATAGTCTTCATGGAGCTATTATCCTATTGAACTGGTTTCCTATATAAGCTATAGATATTGATGGATATTGATGGTTCCTATCTTAGTTAAAGTGCTACCATGGATGCCATTGGAGCTTTCCACCAGGTACCTAAGGAAGTGAGCGAGAATTGTCGACCTTCTTAATAATGTCTTCTAGTTGCTCAGCGACGAAAGACGGATTGTCCTTTTGGATAAAGTGTCCAGACTTGGGTGCGACAAGTGGCCCTTTTGCTCTTTCTGGATCAGTCAGCCCACAGAGTCCCTCGTTGTACTTTTCCCACATACTACTCCATATTAGCCAGATGTTCTATTGGGGAATAACCCTTCACTTACGGCTGAGTATACATAGCTGCCATGCCCAAAGGGACCTTCATCATGGTCCACTCTTCCCGAGAAAATTGTTCAAGCTCGTGGCCCACAACTGTCACCCAAGGGCCTTTATCTGAACACTTCGACCCCTTAAGTTTTGGCTTCGATGGATCGGGAAGAATATTCTTGATCTCCCGTCGATCAAACCCCTCGTTATTTTTCGCACTTGCTGCGAATATTGTTGTCATCTTGTTATAAGCAGCTTCATATACATCAAGCGATGTGCCAGGGGGAGTCATCTGTTCTAGATTAAAAGACGGGTCCTTCGGATTCGGCCAGATGCTCTCGTAGTCAGTATTTCCAGGATTAGAATCAAGGAATAGGATTCCTTCGACAACTGTAGGATACCTATCTCAGACACACGCTGTCAGCCACAAGCCTGGCAGAGAGATATTGGCATGTCGCGTATTACCTGTCAGCATATCTTCGGGCAATATGTGCTCCTATGCTGTTATTCACAAAGACAATACGTGAGGAACGATCGGGGCATTGAGTTTGAATCAACTCGTGGAGATCGTCGGTGACATCGTCTAGCGTGTGTGCATATCCGGGATCCTTGTTCGCCCAGCTTTCACGCGGATCTCTTGGAGAGGCACCCTGTCCATATCGGTCATACGTAAGTATCCACGGCATAGGAGAGAACCCAGATTTACGTATAAGTTCAATGGTGGGCTTCCAAACGGCTTGTGGAAGTCCAAGGCCGTTCAAGCAGACGATAAGGAGACTGCTTGCCCCATCGCCTTGGTAAAGCTCATAGGCAATAGGGGCATCTGGCTTGGAAGGAAGTATCGCCGTAGGCATGTTGAATTACACAAATGCTTCTAACAAGTTAGAAATCCAGAATGGGTGATGTGATTGACATTGATTTCGTTGAGAGTGAAAGGATAAATGCATTTGAGGACTTAATATTAGAACAGGCTTATATGTTGGATCATGTTGGATAAAGACCCCCGCCACTGTGTATGCAAGGGATACAATACTAAAGGGCGATATGGAATAAATAGATTAAAACTATTAAGGGATACGGCTGTTGGGAGACCTAAATCAATGACTTACATGAACATGTGTACGATTCTAAATATATCGTAGCCTTAACATGTCAAAATTAGGATGTTGTTAAGCAGGCAGTACAACCTCTGCTTCTAGATTCCTCCTCCCTTTTTTTCTCGATGACCCTTCAACTAAAAGGCCTGCCTATCTATGACTAACACCATGATATTACTCCAAATATAAATAGAAGCAATGGTCATACCGTTCTATAATGTCAAGTGGTCTGATTAAAATAATTGACTAACTGAGAAGGCCTTGCGGCTGTGAAGGTATGGAAGATGAGGTTTATCATAACCCGTCTTATCGGTGGCCTTATCGAAACTAAAAAGGCAATTTTTACAATCTGTTCAGCTAAGTTAATAGAATATGAAGAAATAAATATGATCGTGAACTTTTTAACAATATTAATAATGAATTGCCAAGCTTGATAGTTGAAATGTTGAATGTTATTTGAAAGCAGCGAAAAGGGGAAGTAGCCCCTACGTCATACCAGTTGCTAGGCTACATAGGTACCTACCTAGTTTAGGCACATAGGTACATATTCTTTTAGCAGAACGTTATGTACCTACATGTTGTATCATGTACTTAAACGAGATAATTAGTGTACATATGTACATAGATTCTTAGAGGAACTCTAGCGGGGCTCTTTAGCTCTAGGTAACGCACGGATCACCACTAACGCTAAGTCGACCAATAGCAACAACAGAATCGATGCTTCTGTCCGAGTTTTGCTAGAGGACAATTCCTTTCTAGAAAATTTCCTGCACTCTCATTGTTAAAGCTCAAAGCTCAAAGCTCAAAGCTGTCCAGCCTTGTCTGTTTGCAAAGCCTCAAACACAAGCGCACCCCTCTCAGCTTTTCAAGATTATTACCCAATTCATTGATTGCCCGCCCTGTCGAATCCTCTCTGATAATTCTTTCAATCGGATGTTACTGTGCCATTAATCGCAGTCAGCTGGCTCTGTTGATGCCTTGGACAATAATATCCTGACATCCATCACCACATCACCACATCACAACATCACAAAACTAACAGAACTCCCACGCGACAATACAACTTTGACGGACCTTGGCATCCTTTCTTCTGCGCCTATTCCAAGTGTAACACTGTCTTTCACCGTCTAACCTACATATTGACACATATGTCCATACCCAAGTCAACGTCCTTCATCTAATATTTACTTATTTCATCCACCGTCTTCCTTTCTTACCAGCGGGGTCAAGTTGTCCATTGATCCAGCTACCGTAACCTCTGCCAACATTGATAGCCCACCACCTTGGATGGATCAGCCCTAAGACGACGTCACTAGCTGCCCAATATATCTCCATTCCTATTCCGGAGTTTCTTGGACTCATCTAACCAGCTCCGACGGCAAGCTTAGTTCCAAGGCTCCTCAACCCTGGTGCCATATCTTGATTCTAAAACAGCATTCTCTAGACTGTCTTGTCGCCTCATGCTACCTGAATGATCGAAAAGGCCCCTACACATTTGGCAACTGCCGACCTTACTCCAGTATCTCCGGCACCTCTTCATCTGTCCTCTCCTGTAGTAGTACCCAGCCTGCAAGACCAGGCCGACACGCTGTGCACAATGTCGCTCTCCAACAACGGCCAGGTCCCCTCGGCCTCTGTAGCAGCTATGGAACAAGTTGGAGCACCATATCAGAACAGTCTCCCTGCCAGTACCAGTCAGGATAATACTTATAGTGCCGACACTGCTATTTCACGTCGGGACAGTTTTGCCGACGATATTAACGGTGCTGGGAATCAGGGTGAAGGAGCTGCATTGCTCGGAGGTGAAAGAGACGCCCAGCACCCTAGTCAGCAGAGTGGTGCTGAGGTCCAGCAAGATGTATCCAACACGATCGAATCCAGTATTAGTTCTGTTACGTCTGATTCCTTGACAAATGGTTCTGAAGTCGCCACTCCTTCACATGACCTCTCTTCTACAAGCCCTGCTCAGTCCGTGCATCAGCCTGCCCCAAACTTGAGCCCATCTGGAGCCCAAGAGCCGCAAAAGCCACAAGAACAGGCTGTAATTAACTCGTCGACGGACGATTCCGATGTACCTCAGCCACCTCCAGCAGCGCCCGCTGGGGAGGATGATCGCCCATCAAATGCTGCCAATAATGAGCAAGACATCCAAAACATTGTCGATAAGATTATAGGAAATGCGTCCGTGGGTAATGCCAGTCAAACAGCGGTCCCGCAGAGTTCTGCCAACATTTCTGCTCCCCCGCAAGCAGTATCATTGCCACCTAGACCCCCAATGCCGCAGTTCTCTGCCCAGCCATATGTGCATCCTGATGATAGTTTAAATTACCAATCAGGATTATCCTATCCTAATGCCAGCGCGCTATCTACCCTTCCGCCCCCTCCTGGCACCTACTCTACTGGGGCTCCCGGAACGGCTCTAGAAGCTCGTAATAGCCTTCCACCCCCTCCAGCCTCATCTATTAATGCCTTGCCAGTTCATTCGTTCCCGGTGTCCCAATTTGACCCTGCTTATGCTGCCGCCACAGGTACTCCGTCGCATGCTTCTGACCACTACCCGCAATGGGAAGCTTTTCTCCAGGAAGAACGTCGTTACGTATCAGAAGCCAAATGGGACCGTTTCCCAGAAGGATCAAGATTATTCATTGGCATGTCTTCGCAACCTAATCGCAATGGTTTGACTTCTAACAGTTATATAGGGAATCTGTCTAGTGACCGGGTCTCCAAGAAGGAAGTCTTCGATATCTTCTCCAAATATGGGCGTCTCGCACAAATCTCTCTCAAACAGGCCTACGGTTTCGTGCAGTATCACACTCTTGAGGAGGGCCAGGCTGCTATGGATCACCTACAAGGGATAGAAGTCAGGGGGCGTAAAATCCGTGAGTTCCCCCGCTAAGTTGGAATGATCTGTTGGGTACTAACATAATTATAGACCTCGAATTCTCCCGTACCCAAAAGAAGGAGGGAGATGGGGAGAGGCGAGGAAATAGGGTTAAGAAAGAAAACGAACGTCACGATAATGGACGCGGGCGACGTGATGATTATCGCCCAGGTCGGCAGCCATCTCCGAGGCGGGGAAGCCACCGACAGCAGACTTCTTTTGATGGCAGCCGCGATTATTATGATGACTATGCCGCTCGTGCGCGCTCACGATCTCCTGGTTACGGAAGACGCGAGTCGGGTCACTACCGTCGCCGAAGTCCTAGTCCCTATCGTCGACATCCATCTGAAGTAGAGCTAGATATCCCTCGTCGCTATGGCGGTGATATTCCTGATGTGCAGTTTGTACTGCTCCACGAGGTCGAAAGAGACTTTATAAGTTGGACCGAGAGAGCCTTTCTCAACCTAGGGTTAAGGGTGCAGGTTATGTTTCTTCATGCTCATCTACCTCGAGAAGCTGTGATCCAGCGTCAAGTGATGGAAGGTGTCCATGCGGTCGTCGAACTGGATTACCGAGCACAACAAACCGGTGGTATCCCCTTGCAAGTATTTAATCGCTCCGGTGGACACGCCAATGTCCAGTATGATCAATACCAGGACCTTGATCCCAACATCGCCGCGCAGCTAGTCTGCCGCGCCAAAGCTCAAGTTCAACCACACAATCACTATGGCGTTCAATATCCGCCTGCCCAATATGCACAACCCCCGCAGCCTCCTTACCTACCGCCGTCATATGCTACCCAACCCTATCCTCCCGCTAATGTTCCCACTGGTAATCCGAGTGGCTCTTTAGATAATGCTACATTGCAGAAGATCCTGGGATCCCTCCACAATCAACAAGGTGCTCCACACGGTTATCATCCTGGGCAATCGGCTGGAGGTGCGCCTGCTGATGTGAGTTCGGTATTGGCGAACTTAGGAGGAGCCCACAACATGGGTGCTGCTGGGCATAACCAGCCACACAGCGCAGGTTATCCACCTGTGCATCCCAATGGTGCTCCCGGTGGCGATTCTTCACAGCACGTCCAAAACATCATGGCACAGCTGGCGAGATACCGGCAGTGAGCTAGTTATCTCTGTATATATCCTGAGATGAGTCACTAGTCTATCCTGTTTAGCATCTTGCTATTGTATGTAGGGCAGATGCATCTACGGGATTTGTGGACTAGGTGTTGACGCCTTGTATGCATAGAAAAGATGATAGCTTTTGTCCATGGCATGAACATAAACGCTATGATGAGACAACATTCGCTGAATTGAGCTGATTGTTGTGTATTGTACAGTGCTTTTAGTGAGCCAAGTTTTGTGTGAGCCTTTTACCTTTTTAATACGTCCGGTATCAATATATAAATATACATGACCTTGGTCATTGACATGCTAGGCAAAGTAGGACATACCCATAAACCAAACACTTTACAGTCGTGTGGTCTTCAGATCCTCCCATCTAAGCTAACCAATGTCTCCCTTATCTTCTCCTCGGCTCTCTTCAAGGCTGACTCTTCCAAACCAGCATCAAACTTCTCCGAGCCTACCCCCTCAGGAGCAGTCTTGCGGAGCCATTCCTCTAGTAAACTTCTCAACTCGTCGGCTGGCTTCTGCAGAGCATTGATACCTCGATCCTCACATGCCAACGCAACTTCCTCGTCAACAAGAGCCTTTACGCCCCCACCTTCGCGCAGCATAGCATCATCAGCCGCGATCCGCGCAATGGCTCGCTGCGCCAACGACGCCGCGAACGGTCCGTCTAGACCGATCTTATCCCACAGGGAGCTCGTCAGCCCCAGACTCCGGCATATGTGGCCGTTGCTAGCCGGCTCGTCGCCCTTTAACGGGTCGGGCCGGTAGCGCAAAGCGCGGAAGCTGGCGCCCCGCCTGGCCTCGGATATGCGCCGCAGAGCGTCGGCCTGCTTGGGGATGCGGCATGTAAGCGGGGTGAGGCGCGGGAACAGCAGCACCACGAGCGGGGTGAGTTCCCCGCACACGATGAGCAGGACCCCGAAGATGGGGAGGCGCGAGAGGTCGTGCCGTACGCGGCGGCGCAGGAGGACGTCTGACCGCGTTGGGAAGGATGTCGAGCCGGGGATGGGAGGGGATGGGGTGGAGGCGGTGGGGGATTGCGAGAGGAGTTTTCTGTTGGTGAAGATGGCGCGGAGTCCAGCCTTGTAGAAGGTCATGTATGCCTTGCCGAGGCGGTAGAAGTATATGAAGATGGAGGACGAGGGGTCTCGGGTCGGTGTGTCGAGAGGAGGCGGGCGAGTCGAGGCTGGCGGGTTGAGGGTTGTCGAGGCGGGGAGGGGAGATGTCAAGTGCTCCGAAGACACGACTTCAGATGTCGATTTGGGTGCTCTCTTCACTTGCGACGCTGTCGATGCGGCGCGGCGTGGGCCCGTCCGGGATATTATGTGCCATTGCTTTGAGGCGCGGCCCGTAGCGACGAGAGACATAACGGTATATGACAAGCCATTGGGTCTGAGGAATGGAGAGCGGACGCGCGCGATGCGCAGACCGGCGTTGAGGGGCATCGGGGGGAAAAGGCGTGCTGTGGAATGTTGTCGTATAGCCGCGGGGAGTATATAAAAAAAAGATTTAAGTTTTGGGAAGAGAGCTGGAAATTATGGGTTAATAAGCTTGAGTATTTCGTACCAAAGCTACCCCTACGTAGCTGCGATGCTACGTCAGCGTGAGTTCTAGTGGAGGTTTAGTGTAATCTAATCATGCTGTTATCGATAAGATATAGAGATTCAATATTAGATAACCTCGCTACTTCTGAGGTACGATCCGTTCTGCCCAATCTCCATGTTCTTTAGTAATCAAAGTCCAAGTCTAAAATACCATTAATTATTTTTAGTTTATACGTAGATATGTGGTGAGTAAAATAGCTTTCAATCCAGATATATTAATTGTTTAATAATTAATAAAATACCTTAATATGCGTAGTATGTTGTGTATATGTTGTCAGCATTATCAATTATCTGACAGGTCAGTTGCACCACCCGGATTTCCAGGGCTTACCCAAGCCTCAAGGCTGAGGTTCCTTCGATTAATCATATTCATATGAGAATATCATACATCTTCATCTGCTACAGCATATCCCCTACACTAGAGTCAAGAAAATGGACGTCCTATCTACCCTTATTTTCTTCATCCCTGGTATCCCCCTTTTCCCAACTTCTCGTTCAGGCGCCGATGAGGCGGAATTGTTTGAACCCTCACACCGTGGCTTCAATAAACGATGGATAACCCAAGGCTCAGATGGGACTAGTATTTCAATCAAAATTGACGAATCCTATGGTGTAGTCTACAATTCTAAAGCAGGTTTCTCTGCGCTTGCGTCGGGATTGTTGAACGACAACCCAGAATTGTGGTACCGACTTGAAGGTTATGATTTCTTTGGCACTGACGAATCTCGTGCTTCCGGTCAAACCAGAAAAAAGGCACGACCCTATCTAAGAGACATTAAAGAATTTGTAAAGGGCCCTGAAAGAAAATGGGGTCGAGCAGTTCGAGCTATACGCTGTATAGCTGTTGGAGATGGGAACTTGGAAGGTAATAATACCACAACCCCGTACACTTGAAAGTCATATTGAATTGATACTCTTAAGTTTCAATCTCATGCGGAGTAATCATATCCAAGTTAGTTCGTATAGATTTTATAAGGCATCCCGACCGCTCTCATATTGCCACGGAACGGTTTGCCTCAGAACTCCAAATACTTGATCACTTGTACTGCAATTTAAGAACTAGGAGAAACCAGAAACCTTTTTTCCTCTTGCAATGCCAACATGCCGCTCTAAATATATTCACCAATTTCCTAGAGTTGATGGCAATAACTTATACTGGTCGTCGGAACCGAGACTTCGACCCTCGCTTATCTGGGCTCCGACGGTGGCAATTGGAAGCAATCATGAGCGACTCCCAACTCTATCGGGATTTCTCGGAGTGCGGAAGTGAACTAGTAACTACGATAGAATCGTTGCTAGACATTATCATGAGTATAACAGAAAAAGAAAACGACGACCAAAAGGTTGGGCTCCTGGTGCTTGACAAGGCTCTTCGAGGTTGCTGCAAAGACACCAAGCTACGCCTCACTAGGTTTTCCGATGGCTTGGAACACAGCCTCAAGTTTCTAAGTATGGCTCGAGAGTTAAACCAGTCCGGCAATGTTCAGAATTTGACGCTTCTGGCTACCATATTTCTGCCCCTATCACTCGCTGCGGGTGTACTCAGTATGCAATCAAGATTCAAAGACTTGGGCACTCTGCTATACGACTTCTTTGGCGTCGTGGTCCTCCTGGCGACTATTGTTGTACTCTTCCTCGGTGCCATGTTTGTCTTGGCTAATATAAAGGAGCTCGAGAGCAGACTACTGAAGTACGAGATCTACAGACAGTTTGGGCGGCGACTTCTTTTAAGTTCACTCGCAATCATATTCATAACCTTCGGGGCTCTTGTTCTGTCATCTTTCATCGTGGGCATGTTCAAGGATGTCGTTCTTGGGGCTAGCATATTAGGCTACGGAACACTTGTATTGGTCTTCGGGCCAATAGTTATTGGAGTTCTGGTTCTAGGCATAAAATATATCGTGGAAATGTTAAAAGAAATATTTGAGCGTTTATTTGATGTCATCCGGGGGGTCAATCGTGACCAGAAAAATAAGCAAAAAGATGTAGAGAAGAATCCAGGACCGCAGCAAGGAGAAGGAGAGTCCGGAGTGAAGAGCGATAATAGCGGTCCGGCTATAGAGAGCCAAGTACAAGGTAGTCGGCGCATTGGAGATACTACTTTACTCTCGAATGAAACTCCTACTAATGCGGCTGACGGGGAATCTAGTCGGTAACCAAACATGTCCATTCTCGGCTATTTTGACTCGGCTGGCTGCTCTGAAATGACCACACATTATCTAGCTTGGCGGGGGCACAAAGTACGGGATGTGCACTTCTTGAAGGTTATTACTAGCAACTTGTGTACATAAATACTTCTTTATACTGTGAAGTAGTTGGTGGCCTGCTTGAATTACGAATAAGTGAATCTCTGAAGAGGATATTACGGATGTGATCTATCATCAACTTCCATATCAGACCTCAACTACAGTAGTTGGGGGGTGACGGGGAAAGATTTTCACAAGACGTTAGAAAATAGCCGTCGTTCATAGAAAACATTGCTTATTATAGCCTCTTATATACGATTGTGGAACATCTGTGAGATACGAGAATGCATGGTTAGTTTCACTAATTGGAAATCGGAAGCTATACGGTGCTTCCCCGTGCGGCTTCTCGCATGAGAGTAAAGCTATGTAAAGCCTCCCGATACCGGTCTAACTTGAATTTAAACAAGCGAATTACCTTTTGAAAGAATACCAGACGGATTTCTACTCTCAACAGAATATTCTTTATATTCTTGAGAATGAGATTATCACAATGCAATTGTCCCTCTGAGTTTCTAATCCATCTACCATAGCTTTTCATTACTCTCTGACGTCGTTACTCAAAGAGAATCCCTTTCTGATCAAAATGGACTTGATATACTGAGATTGTTTGGCCTTCCCGTGGACATCTAGACGGTTGTGCATGTGTATGCCCTTGTCACATCTTGAATGGAATGAGCTCCGTGGCCTATAGTTGAGTAATGGACTCATCTTCATATATGCGTAATTAAATGACCTGCCTGAATAATGCTAAGTTGTATCACATAGCTCAAACTCCTGGAACTGTGTTAGAACTTTAAGTGGAAGATAAGGAGGAATGTGTCACGCCCATACCTATATTGATCGTTAGATTATGCAAAGGACTCCATATTTTATTCGCCCGGACGTAGCTTGTTTCCTGATTTGAGCAGATTGGTGCCTTTTACTCATGCACCTGCGAGCCTATGTATTCTAAAACCTAAAGTTCCTCCCTTCAGTTTCCATATAAAGAGCTATGCTCGTGCCATGTAGACATTGATCTTTTCTGAATTTCTTATTTTCGGGGACAAGTATACAGACTCATCTTTGGCAATAATTTATCTATTTTCGTTGAGAAGGTGTGTCGACAGATGTAACTTTCAGCTTACAACTATAAACATAGGCTCAATCATGGAATTTGCATTCATTACCATTAAGCCAAGAGCTCGTTCGGCATCTTAGAGCTCATGTCTGCATTGGTTCCTCACTCGGGCTCTTGCACCCCGGGTAGCAACCCCGGGGAGCCGATGAGACCCACGCAGTATCCCGGCCGTTGATCTTTAACTCCTCGGAGTCTAACGGATGAAGCATGGCGCTAATCGAAAGCAAAGAGAAGCGTCGTGCCTACAGGATAGGAATGAGCGGGGGTCACTGAATTGGGGGTCACCAGATTGTTTGTCTAGGAGAAGACTGATTTCGTATACATGAGTCCTACGGCTATACTTATCAAAGGCTGAAGGGAATTGACCAGACGGTAAACTACAGGGAAATATCTGACGCAGTATGATGTTAAGCTACTTCGTAGACATGAGGTGGAACATCGGATTTCCTTTGGCGCCTGCAATATATGTGCACGATAGAGGAACTAAATCTTCAAGGCCCGAATAAAGATAAATATTCTATGCGGCCTCCCGGCAATTCTCGGTAAGTCTGGATTCAGATTGGGTGGGAAAGCCAAATCGTTTCACCCAAAATTTACGACTGCTACACGGTGGATTGCCACCACCTGAATCGAGAGCAAACATAGACTTTGACCGCCATCCCACACGCGAATGACGTCTTTTAGAGCAATATATGTACTCCCGGACGTGTCTTAGAAAATATCTGACTATTAGAGTCTGTGCTGTTAACATATTTGCAAACGAACTTATATGGGACTTTGTGAGAGGGGAGCTATTACATCCGCGACAGTGAACTTGCAGGAGGCTTCGGTTTCGCGCAGTATGTCTACATGAACTTTCACTAGAATTTCAACCATGGAGAATACGACGGTGATAAACATCATTAACTTTAACAGAAGAGAGAACAACATCATAATGAATAATGCCGAGTTACATGTGACTGAGTCAAACCAACAACAACTCAAGTGAGCCTAATCCTTCAAGGCCATATCTGTTGTTAAAACTAGTTAGGGGAGGATATGAAAAATAGATAAAAGTTCGCTAGTAGGCACTATAGTTAATGGCTAAATACACACAGCTAATGAACCCGAGGGGCGATTAAACGCCCGAGGTGTCTCACGGTTGTTACTTTCGAAATCCTAATAAACTTATAGAGGTTTCACCACCTGTATTTTACATGTTCTGATCCATAGCACAACTTCAGTAGTCTGTCGTGGGACCATCAATAATCGGTTTTATCGGATATTCGGCGATTAAGAAGGGCATTGGGTACTATCGGGAAATTTTGTATGGGATCTCAAGGAGAGTGGATAGGTTATAACACTTTAGCCATGGCCGTTTTCAGATGTAAGTGGTCCATTTAGACTACCCTAGCTGCGACTGTAATACCAGATCCCAGGTGTACCAATAACTCCTACTTGCAGGAGATATTAGGTTTCGGCAGACGAGTAAGAAACCCCCTTGAAAGGTATCGTCTTGATGGAATATTTACTTTGACGCTACTATAATAGCGAAGAAATAATTACGACAGTTACGATAACTAAAAAAGATTAGGTACCATACTGAAAAGCAAATTTACCACTTAAAGGATTAACCATATACGTATTTCTAGATCGCTCAGCCTGATTCGATATACACATGGAGAGGTTACAATCATCTGAAGGTATCGTTGTACTGCATTGCTGCAGTAAAATTTCCGTCTAATCCTCACATTTAAGCAGCAAGTACTAGTGAAGGGCTTGACACAGGGTTTGCTATCATTCACGTTACGTTGGTAACGCCATACATCAGATAAAACAGTCTCGCTATGAGACTGCATTCGATGACGGGCTAGTACACGTAAAGCCGAGAGTGAAGAGGAAATAGATTGCGATCGAATACAGATCATGCCTTGGTGACTCCTCGTCGACGTGGAGGTGGACATAGGAAGCCAGTATGGACATCAGAATTATATATAAAGGGGCAAGGCCGACGCCTACTCTCTGCATCAAATTTCAATCTATAAACCTACTACATTATCACTAAACCTAATATCTCATATGCAATTCATACGAGGTCTTTAAGCTACTTACATAATAGAGTACTCGCCATCTACTATTCTATAAGCATAAAGATTGCTCCGCCTCTATAACATATAAGGTACACAGCCTTACTATTTCATACCACCTACTCTCGTATCAGGTAACTATGGCGTCCGAGTCAACCACTGGGGCCGTACTTAACGGGTAAGAATATACCCTATGCTTCATCCAGAAAACTCCCAATTCGAGATCATCTATACTGGGCACGACTGATTGAGGTACCATCCTACCCTCCTGTACAGCGAAAGACCCTCAAGGTCCAACAAAGTATGGACTGCCCGTACCACTTACGATAAGCAAGATCTTCGGACAGATCGTCTAGAGGCATTTCTCACTATTCCCATTGGCACCATCATCGCTTCGGACCTTGACCCTGAGGACATCACAGCGGTTCACAAGGCACGCATTGACACCGAACTTGCGGGTATCATTCCTTATCTTCCTTAAGTCTAATTTCCGCGCTCTATTACCCAAGGCGAGCGCGTGATACCTATACCAGGCATATATACCTATTAATAATAACGGATAGTTAAACGATATATGTGAGAAGCTACTGCGACAAGGAGGGACGTAACGAGCACCCCGTCAATAAGTTTCTGGTAGAACAACACAACATTGACTCCGGGAGTATGGGTGGATAGAGGTTCTTGAGAGCTTGCTAAACGACTCCGAATAAATTTGAGACGGAGGATCTAGACAAGTCGTTATAACATAGCGACGAGGCCTTTTCGAACTTCGTATCAGATATTCAGGCAGATATCTCAGCCATGAATACCTAGCAGAGATACATCGAGGACCGTCCTAATTCACATACATGTATAGAGCCCAAGCAGCGGCTGCAGCTGCCGCCGCCGCCGCTGCTGGTGGCCAGACTCTAGGTAACCTGGACTGGCCACATACTTGAAGAACCACTAGCTCCTCCACGGCTACCTCCTCGACACTGTTGCGCAGCTAGATAAAATAGGTTGACATCACCTCCTTCGCCCTCGCCTTGGGTCGGCTGGCTGGGAGGACCTAATAGATGGGCTCTTAATTCCCACCCGCTGTCCTTGCTTGAAGTCAATAGATAACATCATCTGCAAGTTAACCAAGGCGAGCTAGGATCGCTTCCAACTCGGCAGCAACCTTGGCCTCATGAGAAGCTTGCGAATTATCCGAGCTAGGTGTACGATCATCTACGAGAGGTACACTGTTCGGTCCGTCCTTGAATAATTGGAGGCGGTAATCTTGGAGGCTTTTCTTATCAGCTGGGTCACTTGTTGGTGGGTTTTCAGTAAAATGATGGGCTGGCTTGGATGGAGTTGCACTGTCACTCATTAGAGTCCCATTAAGCTCTCAGAATCCCCGTGGAGATATAGGTAGCATAACTTACCCGTAATAGGCCGGGCTGCTTGAGTTGTCGGCCATAATTAATACTCGATAAAGGATTTAGAACCAGGCAAATGTAATTTAAAGTGTTGTAGATGTAGGAATATAAACCTCAGAAGACGTCTATTGCTAAATGGGTTGATAAGGAATATATACAACTCGTGTGAAGTGGACTTTCAAATAATATATAACAACACAGTTCATCTTGACCTGGAAACCTGCGTCCATAATGGCGGACCTGTCCTCGGAAAGGTTGAAGAGGGGTCTAAGGCGTCCATAATGGCTAACCTATCCTTGGAAAGGCTGAAGAGTAATGTAAGGCGTCCAAATGCATCAACCATACATAACGCGCGAAAGGAAGATGCTGATGTGTTGAGTAGGTAGTAACCAGATGGTTGTACATCCTAAGGCAGAATATTAAAAATATTAGTTTGCATGCTATACAACAAATTTTCATGCCCCTTTCAGATAAGCTTCTAGTTATCCAGATGATATTCAACGTCTATTATTGATATCGTATTTCCTTGACAGACTGCCAAATTGGCCGCGCACCATCTAGTGAATAACCGATTATCCTGCAGAGTACGAGTGAGGGCACTGAACTTATCTTACTAGGAGCCTTCTTAAGTTCGTCAATGGATGATGGATACCATAGCGGAAATGGGGGGTTTCAGAGAACTGTTCTTTATGGGGAACGGTTCCCTATTAGGGAACGTTCCCTTAATTCCCGGCATTTTATTGGCTAAAATCCAGGAATAGTAGATTCCGGTTTTTAAAATTTTACTATTGCCGTTCGATACGTATAAAATCGTTCCCCCTAAAAGAACCGTTCCCTTTTTAGGAATCATTCTTGTCAATTTTGGTTAGATTTTACTTAGAAAAAAAAAATTTTTTTAAGTAAAATTTTTATAATAAAATATTATTATTGAAGTAAAGGTTATAAGGCCTAAAAACAATTGAATTTCTAAAAATAATTCTAATTCGATGAGATTGGCCACCTCGTCCCATTAGCTCATAGGAACGCTTTTCAATTATGGAACAGTTCTTCGTACCCACCCTACCCCGCTATGGTACCTAACGAACGAACATCCACATGGGTAGCACGAAGTTAGTTGGCCCAATGGGCAGGTTCCAAGTTATTCAAGCACTCACAGTGTATTTCCTAGATGCTGCATAGTTGCATTGAACAAAGTTAGGCTTAGGCAATTCACGCTAAAAGGAGAGCATGTAATCTTCACTCAAGGCTACCTTTGATCTTATATTTAGAAAGAATTTATATCACATTTCGCGCAATATCTTTATGTCTACCTACCTATGCAGTGCTAGTCTGATTCTAAGTTAGAAAATGTTCGAATTTGATGTGTGGAGCAGACGAAGTACGTAGTTGGGGTCCTAGGCTACCCGTTGACCGAGGACATGTTCCAACATAATCAATGATTTTGCTAACATCAGTCTCACAGAATCATGGAGTCCGTTTTGACACAGCCTGGAAATCAGCAATCCACAAATAAGGGTGGCTAAGACATCTGCCTCTCAAAAGCCACCTAACAATGGTATGTCATTAACTCGGCACTTGACCGAGACTAAGCTGTTCTGTTCCATTGATACTGTTCTCCTGCAGCTAAGCTAGCAGGGGTGATATCCCCTTGGGACATGCATTAAAGAACATGGCCACTTGGTCACTAGGGTGATATATGAACCGCTTTTGTGTTAAGCAGGAATGTGTTTTCTGTGAAGGGCGTTATGAATCTTCGATCTTGGAATAACTGTGAAGGATAACTTCTTGGTAGCTAACCTGGTAGGCTATCGACAAACGAACAGCTCATGTATTTTTTACTCTTAGAGCGTAAATGGGGATGGTGGTATTGCTAAAAAAGAGCTGCATGGGTGATCGTAGTAAAGATAGGTGCAGTGTTGAATAGATCAGATGAGGATGTGCCGGCGGGAAAGCACAATATATACCTCTTGAAAAAGATAAAAGATAAAAGATAATACAATAATACAGCGTTGTCAGTGCCGCACTGAGCCTTGTGAGCCTGCGCCTATCTTTTCTGTTTTTACCGCTCTACCCCCACTAGGCACTATAGGTTACACCGTTGTGTATAGTGTGCATGATTTCTGTATAAGACTCCAATTTGTCTGCCTTGTCCTTATTATCTGTAGGTAGTTAGGCTTCTCTAACGGCATAGGACGTGTAACCAATCTAGTAACCACTAAGTAGAATATTCATTACTCTACGTTTGTCCTGTCAGCTCAAATGCAGACTTCTCTAATGGATGTTACATACGTGCTGGTATTACTCTGCCTTCCATTAGGCAGACAGCTCCAAATGTTGTAAAGTGACCTGCAGTGGCACCTCGCTTGCAGAAACTCACCGAAACTACGCTTATTTCTTACATACTTATCGTCCCATCTTACCTTTGCCTTCGGTTTAAGCAGACACGATCTGAGGCTGCAGCAAAATACTCAGCGCAAAGTTAATTAAATATGTACATTCACCGAAAGCATGCCTTTTAGATCAATGTTTCGGTAGCCATCAGGCTTGTATTGTCCCGAGGTTCTATCAAAGCGTCTAGGCAACAAATGCCAGCATTATAATTATTTAAATGCTCTTCCACATGCTAGTAAGTTTCTGGTAACTACCTAGATTTCGGTGTGGCAAGTTGTAGGCTGCAAGCAACGTAGGATAATAAAACCCATTAATGCCTAACCGCCTAACCCCCACCCTCCTGTCCTAAGCCACGGCCTCGTAAGGCAACATATACTGGAATTGACTTCGGCATCGCCCGCTTCTGACGCAGTATCGCAAATTATTTCCTTCGTAGAATCCGGTGGGTTTTGATGCTGGAAAATCTCGAAAGGAAAAAAAGTATTAGGACTCAAGGCTGGATCTCTATACACGAGCTTTCATTTCTCATTACAGCTTCAGCATCTTAAATTGCACTGTGAAAATGCTTATGGCTTATATAACAAGCAGATAAGTCTGAGTAATTCCTAAACTTCACATAATCAAAACCATACGTGGAAAATTTTCCGGAAGAAGCTTAATTTGTGTTCTCTACTTCTTAGGCTCTTAATTTTACACAGTCGGTACCAAAAGAAACGAAACCCAACAAAGAAATACCAATTGTGCTTTATATATATGTAGGTGCCTATGGTTCGCAATCAGGATGGAATTCTTCGTCCTTTAAAGCAATTGATCTTAGGGCCAGTTGGAGTTTACACAGCCCTTAACAAAACTAACTGCTAGGGTTAGCGAAGCAATGTAAAGAAGAAAAAATCAAGATATTTGAAAGATAATCTTGAACTACCTATTGACTATTTTCTGGCCATCATAGTTCCTATTTATTCATATATTAATTCACTTCATTTTTAACCACTTTAAAATGAAAGGTAGTTGAGATAAACACTATGAGCGGGTCACCTAAATGAAATGTTCGATCTATCCGAAAGATTAGATTCCTGCATGGGAACTCTACCCGATGGATACCGGATAGATCCCACCCAACCCACATCTTTCTCCTCTTACCCCCTGTTGAAGATCACTCAGGTATCTTATACCTAGGTTAGGTACTTAAGCTTTCCCGCTTAGCTTGGTCCAGCCATACTGGCCGGCCCCACTTTCGGGAAGAACCTTAAACTTGCTTTATACCGGGTTTAATAAACTCTTAACTGTCGAAACATCACGATTGGAAGAATTGGGGTTTAATAAGGGAAAATCGGTATAATTTCAATTGAGGTCATAAAGAAGCTCGGCACTTAAACGAGTAAAGACCGTACGGATATAATAAAGAGGCTACCAAGCGCTATACAACAAATAGTCCATTACACCGCCCGGCAATAATCCTAACTTCACCTTCGAATTAAATAATGACGATATAACGAAAATGAGTTGTGATAAACAAATATAGAGTTATATGTGTATTCTTCCAACTTGAATCATAGAATACAATTTGAGACTAGCATATTTTAGACTAAACAGTATTTTTTATGGGAGAATAGATCAAAAGACGGCTTCTAGTAAGGTCGCAGTACTAGTAATGCATGCGCCACGGGGAAGGGACCATATGGATCCTGCAAATAAGTTCATGTGCATTGCCACGTATTATACATGATATGTAGCTAAAGGTACGCTAAATTGCACTTAACTCAGTGTGTTCACTATAGCATCGAGTGTAATAATCCATATTCGTCACTGGAGCTAAACAATACCACAACATGATTCGCACTTCATCCAAGTTATTACGTCGTATCGGGGCTTAATCCGTATGGGTAGGCAGGTCAAAGATGTTGATACCAAAAAGCGAACTAAGTGATTTACAGCATGGGCATACACTTGGCTTACCCGCCACTAGGATAAACGGAATATAAAGGTTTTAAGGAATTATCTCTTCACTTCAGAAACTTCATAACTGCAGTCAAATGTTCCTCCAACAAGGTAAAATCTGTTCTGCATGTGATGTAGCAACGCGACATGAAAACGCCGTATATACATAAAATCTGTAACTGCGAGATGTATGGCATGCAAGACCAAGATCTGAATGATACATTTCCAATACATAGCAACAGCCTATGATCGTATTGTCGCATCGTGCAATTTGTTATTCGCAAGTCAAAAAAGATCACCCCGTCAAGGCAACAGCTACACCTCGACACCATCTCTCACCAGTTTACTCCTTCTTAGAGGAATCCTTACTAGTGAGCAATGGATTAAGCTTGGGCAAGGTGGGATGAAGCTTACTTTGGTGGCATCCGTTGCCGAGCTGGTAGTACCAAACCTACTTGCGGCAGCAGCTTGAACGTCCGCAAGAGTTACACTCCTGATATCATTTCTGAATTCCCGAAGACGATAGTCTCGGAGGCTCTGGTTATCGGCGGTGTGTGAGGTAGGAGGGTGTTTGGAGAAGTGATGGGATGATTTCGAGTGACCTTCTCTAGTGACCAGTCATCTGTTAGAAATTACTGTAAAATGCCTCCAGCAATGAAAGAAACTTACCCATTCCATACTGCCTTGTTCGAACTTCCAGGCATTATGATAAGAAATACGTGATATCCTCCGAATAGCTAGAAGGTGTATGCCGTTGATTTCTGGTCTGGTCCCTTCGAGATCCAAGCATGCTGTGCTATACTGAAGGAAGAGCCCGACTGGGTTGGGGCAGTCCATAGGTATGTATATAAACTCCCATAACAATGGCCTTGGAGGATGGTACACCCTCTCGACCCTGCGTGAAGATACAATAACTTTAGGGTGGTTGCACAAGGTTACCGGTTCGAATAGTATCCGATTGACTTGAAGCAATTGTTGCTATTAAAATGCCCCGACTAAGGTGACCGAAGCCCGAATCGGATACATAAAATAGGCTAGCGTGATGGCGGGGGACAAGACCCCGAGTTAATAGGGTTGATGAGCCAACGGCGTTGTCGGAATACACGGAGGAAGTCGTTTGACGGCACCATAAACCATTGCCGCTTGCCTTTGGAACCCCTGTTAGCGCATTCCCGTGTATCGATCAAGCAACCAAATAGATGATAGTATAGGTCTTGCATCTTGCTTACTGTCGCGTCATCAAAATCCAGTTCGCCATGCCATACATCTTTCTCGCTTAACTGTGTTGTTAGCCATGCAGAGCTGAATCCAATAACACCTCCTGAGACAATGTAGCCAAAAACCATGAAGACCTCAGTAAATCAGTGTATCAATAGACTAGGATTTCAAGTTATGCAGTCATATTTTACACGAGTCCTGCAACTGACAACGCACGCCCATGTCCCGTTGGTATCTGAGGAATAGCTATTAAAAACTCCCGCCTTATCAAGTGAATACCACTTAAGTCGGGCAACGCTGGAGATGATAGATCCAACTCGGAATTGAATGCCAACTTGCAGATCACTCCGATCATCAAGGCAACAATTCCAGACAGGTTTCCTGGTATATAGTAATGAACTGTCGCGCGCACCTATTCTGATTAGTACTCAAAAGCACTCAAGATGCGCGAATTCTTGATTTTTCGTTAACTCGAACCCCGCATGTCCGTGGAAGTCGCAAAACAACTTTTGATGGAGCGCATCCGATTAGGTGAGAGAATCCATAGTCACGTACTAAGCGGATCCAAAAGCGATCGAAACGTCCAGAACGATCTCTGGGGGGTAAATCATTGGATATCGAAAAGGTTGATAATCGACCAAGCCATCTTCTTCAGCAATGACATGATCGAGATATGTCGAATACCAAGCCGCAAATGATGCGATCCCCCATCTCGTATCTGCAAGTGATTAAGGCAACTGCCTAAATCTGCTGAAAGCTCTCGAATCAGGTTCTCCGCATTAACCGCCTGCAAGGTGATAGCCCCTCGCATTAGCCAGCACCAAGTATATATGTCACAGCACGGGTATCTTCGAATCGGAGTAGGAAATGAGTTTGAGTACAGGACTTGACTGGCAGAAATCGACAATGGAGTTCCGAGCAAGTGAACTAGCAGTCTGACACGTCCTCATCACAGCAGAATCTATAGCCTGCTGATGGTCGGCAAGCTAGTGTTGTAGTTGGGAAAGTAATCGTCGAATACATAATGCACCAGGTCCGGATTATGTAGAGGCAGTCGGCAGCAGTATCTCCAGTAGATGCGTGGACCGGTATAATCGAAGAATGGATTGCGCCGGCTTCCGCTAAATCATCTAAATAAATCACGTGTCATAAGCATTTATCAAAACATAGTATAGAGAGACGACGGTATCATTACCTCGAGTTTAGGACAACGAGCCATGTAGTTAGAAATTGGATACCTTGTAGGTATCAAGGGAAGTCAATCGTTTTCCCTCATCGTCGGATGTTTAGTGAGGGTCGTAAACTGCGATGATGTCTTCTAGGGGTTAAGAAGTAAACATGTTCGAGAGAAAGGCTCCAGCTCAGAACTGACGTAAGTCGTAGTTAGCATCAAGAAAAGCTCACTTATTCTTCTTTGCCTCAGGAGGGAACCTCAGTTTATATCAGAAATCAAACAATGGATTTCGGCAGTCTGTAATATAATCGCACCTGTGATAAACGTCGATCCAGCGAATTTAATAGACGCCACTGCAAGGGGGTATGCATTAAACAAGAAGAACAAAAGGATATTAGCCAATGACGGCACTGCCAATCAACTTGCTTCGGGGACCTCCCTCGGGGACCTCGCTTGTCTTTACAGGACGCACGATATTTTGACTGGTCCACCCGTGACAATATTACGAGTACCAACCCAATGGTTATCTTTTTCATAACACCAATTCCAACCTTTGTCAAAGGTAGTGGTATTCCACCATTTATCCTACCTTTGCTAAGGTGTGGTGCAAACTCCAAAGAAACAGAAAGGTGACGTTTACCTACTTACCTATGCAGGTTTCATACTCTTAGTCTCCACCATACAAAAGCGTAGACTATATGTAGTACGATATGTTCACACCCGGAAGCTAGCCGCTGGGGTTAATCTAATCCTTGCCCCCTTCAAGAAAGGCACAGCTAATGCATATAGGTAGACGTGGGCATAGTAGTCAGATCACTCGGCCATTTGCGGATCTACAAAGAGGACACCAAAAAATGATGAAAATCAACGCCCCAAGCTCGCCGGCCATTTTCTGCTAAGATTCTAGATGAGCTATTATTTAGAACAGTTAGAACAGGTAGATAATCTTCAGTATATTCCACTGCGCGTTTCCATATCAGGTCCTCCCACTTTGTGATAGCTTTTATATTGTTCTTTTTGCGTTTCCATTTAGATCTTCGAATGGGGCCAAGGGGGTAATGTGTGACCATACGATAAAAGCAAAAGTATTATACGAAGGCATGGTACGTAGTAATATTCTCCGAGGCCGGCACTGAGACCGGTAGAAAATATCCTATCAATAGTTGACCTTAGACTAACAAGTTCCCACTTCATTCCCGATGGCCTACATGCATCTTGTTAAGTTCCTCCTTTGACTGAACCTGTAAATAACTCCCAGATATTAGGGTATGAGTGCGCTAGGGGTCTGCTTCGCGATACAGACATCAAAGCTGGGTGATACGTACACGGCATTACGCTATGTAAAGAAACCATATACGGAACTCTGCAAACATCTGGGTGCGTATGTAAACACGCAAAGATGAAAGTATAACATTGTGCTTGGCGCTTCTTCCATCAGTCATTACCATCGCATTGCTGTATTTCTTTGGGAATGAAATGCAAAGCCAAACATTCCTGTGAGAGAATTCGCAAAATGCTTAACTACTTAGATTTTCAGCACCGTACTTTACACCTAAACCTAGGAACTTCCCATGCCGCCTCTCAAAGTAAGGCTTTATATCAACGCTATAGACATTTAGGGACACTCAATATTCCACATCACCACATAGCCGAGATCCTACCAGATCTTTAAGTAGCGGGGATAAATTACCACTGTGAGCGACCAAAGGTTTACCTTTTCGCACTGTGAGACTATAAGCGGAAAGCTTGATGGTTTCCTTCCGGTAATCCTTAATCAAATTCTGGACTGGGACGACATTATCATCATAAATATTACTAACGATGCGTGTATACTAGAGGGCATTGCTGTTACCCAAGGTAAGTGAAGCTTTCTCCATTCATCCATGTCGATAGAAGCCAGCAGAGGTAGGCATCACGAGCTTAGAGGACCAGATCATGGAGTCTACACCTTATCCCAAAGTCATCCTTGACCATCAACCCAAAGTCTAACCCGATTTGGAAAAAGCTGGGACCTTGGATCCAACATTCTGATTGGTTGCATTTGACGGGGTCCGCTTTGGGGTGAGCTTTTGGCGTTTTTAATCGCTAAAATAAGGTTAAATGCCCTGTAAGTACAGCGCATTATAACCACTAAATTCCTTATATTATAGCGCGTTTTATCTAATTAATTTCCAATCGATTAAGAATTGATTAAGTGTACGCTTATTTATTTTTTATCTTTTATTTATTTTAAAATAAATATTTTATATTAAAAAAAATTAAAAATTAAAATTAATTAATAATCGATTAATAATTAATTATCAATCGATTATATTAAATTTATTTATATTTCATTAAGTCTTATAATGCTATATAAAAGCGTATATTTATATAAATATAATGTTAGTGAAATGGTAGTTGAGTTTTGGGTGCGCTAGTACTATTATGGTGTAAAATGATCCACATATGCCTGATTGGGTTAGACTTTGGGTTGATGGTCAAGGATAACTTTGGGATGAGCTGCGCCCTCCCAGATCATGGCCTAACCTATACGCTGGGTAGTCGACACCTTCACTATACATGATTCATGAAGGGTGTTTTTTTTGTACCTCAAGTCGTCTTTTCATTTCACAACTACTTGTGCTAAATATGGGTTACAGATAGTGTTGGAAGCGCGGTCGCACTGTCCAGGTTTTAGATTCTCCATCAAGCAATATTGTACCATAAAGATACGCACGATGAGATTATAAGTTTAAGGCAACCGAGAAAAGGAGCATTGTGTGTATGTCCAGGTTAAGAGTTATTCCAACCAAGATTTAGATAGATAGGGTTAGGGCAAACCGAATAATATAGAGAATAGTAAAAACGCAGATGATAATTAGGTCGATCCGAAGGAACATTAATCTTCTAACGCCATATATCAAGTTGTACGTAATGAGGTAGACGAGGCGTTTTTGATTGGCCTTGGGTGTGAGAATAAGTTAGTATATAAGGAATTATGGTTCTATCTTCGTTAGTTTTGTATATCATAAAGTTATGTTGTAATAAAGGCGATTGTAGAAATAATAATCAAAGATACTAATAGTTAACGACCTCACTCCTTTTATTTATACACACTAAATTGGTAAATATATTGTAAGCTTTTAACTACCTGCGAGTTTAACAGGCCAAATTACGTCGGATTACCTGTTGGAGATCTATACCCGGTAATTCGGAAATATTTCTATTTTTAGATAAGCTTGGACCTACTTAGCGGGGGTATTCTTTAAGCTTAATTCTTACATAATTGCACCCTTAGATTTCAGCCTCCGGATAACAAGGATCAAGCATTTC